AGGTACCCAAAGAGAGACCACAATTTTCTAAATTAGTTTTGGAAAATGTTAAACCCAGAAATGTCATATGTTTATTTAAATCACATGGAATGTTTTTAACATGATTATTAATGCTAAAACGTTAAAACTTACAGAAGGGCTTTTTCCTTCAATTCTGTCATAAGTAACTGCTTTAATCACTGCATTTATGGCTTCGTACTATTTATAGAACAACTGAGATACACTAAGCAGAGGTGGAGGTCCGAGAAGAAGGTAATCACCCACACCCTCGGCTTGCTGCGTTCCTCTCTATTTACGTACACATGAAAGACCGAGAGAGGGTGACACTCTTATAACTTATTACTCTGCTTGAAAACAGGTTGAAAAAGAAGCTAGAAACAAGGAGAAAATTCTACAGGAAATCCTCTACCTACAAAATTCAGTGTTCCTTTCCTGAGGTCCTGAGCTGTCCGTATGCACATATTGCTGCTTCTGAATTAGAGGCTGATGACATTTAAAATCATTCGGTAGGAGAAAAATGATGACATTTTATGATGCTAAATTATAATGTATAAACTGAGGGTCTATATAAAAGTTCTCTAAAGTAAGCTGTCACTGTTTACATATTTTGCCAAATTTAAGAATATAAAAATCCAGCCCTGCTCAAAAGAACAAGGGACATACCAGGAACTGCACATGGGGACGGGAAGATCAGAGCCTGCACGTGCCACTTACAGAGCTGTGGATAGGACTGACCCGCTCGAGGCCCCCTGGACTGAGGAGACCCTGGTGTGTGCCCAACGCACACCCCAGCAACTGCATTCGGCCCCCCATGCCACCCACAGCAGTCAGGGTTACATGTAACCCACCCGTCATTCCACGTAAACACAGGTGTTAAGTGGAAGGAAGAAAGAGTTCACGGAAATAATTCTTCAATCAGTCATAAAATCGTGAAAAAGAATTAAGTAACATTTTCACATGATATACAACTCTATGCTCCATGTTCTATAAATCAGGGATAAGTCCTTCTCTACATTATCAAGAAAAGTAATATTTAACTCCCTAGAGCAGAGTCTAAATCAAGAACCAGAGACAACGCAGTTCCATGATATTGTGAGTATCCAATATCCAATTTATACTTAAAATGTAATTTTTAACTTAAAACCAAAAAAAAATTCCCCTCAGTAAAAAAGAAATGTTAACTTTACTATATCCAAAATTACGATTTAGTCTAATCAACAGAAACTGGTAAAAATGCAATGCCAAAAATCTAAAAATCATTTACGGTAGAAAAAAGTAAAAAAATCAAGAGTGCACCGGAAATCTGGAAACAGCCAGGGAGGGCCTCGGAGAAAAACAACAACAGAGAAAATGTGCAAAACTGTCAGGAAAAGCTGCTGCTGCCATTCAGACAGACTTTCATTCTACTTTTACCCATGGGTGTATTTTCATTATCTTCAACTAATTCATTCACTGTGTTGTACTAAAATATACCCTTTCTAAAATTTTTTTTTTTTTTGGCGGTACGCGGGCCTCTCACTGCTGTGGCCTCTCCCGTTGCGGAGCACAGGCTCCGGACGCGCAGGCTCAGCGGCCATGGCTCACGGGCCCAGCCACTCCGCGGCACGTGGGATCTTCCCGAACCGGGGCACAAACCCGTGTCCCCTGCATCGGCAGGTGGACTCTCAACCACTGCGCCACCAGGGAAGCCCCTAAAATTTTGTTTTAATTAAATCAAAACAAACAAAATGTTGAGAGGAAACCAAGTCAACTGTGTTTTCAGGTTTTATTTGGTGTGAAACATCTTTCGGACACCGGTCCCATGGTTTAGGTTAAAAAGCCTCTATTTTAGGAAAGTAGAAAGGCAGACTTTACCAGCATGATTTACTAAAGGCAACTTGGTTACGTGCATAAAGATACTGATTCAAAATCCTTTTACATTTGGGGAAAACTCTGCTGAAGATTTACTTTCCAGTGGCATTCTATTTGGTCTCACACTAATCTGATGTTGAAATAAATTGCTATCACTTGAGCAATTTTCACTCTCTGGCACCAAGTGGTTTGTCACAACGAAAGACACAGGTCACGTGTGAGTTCTAATCTGCATATGAAAACTCCTTCCTCAAAGAAAGCATAGGAAAATGCTGACACTAAGCTTCTCCATTAAAGGGGATTTATCATAACTAAAACATTAAAGCTAAAATAGCTTGGTACATAATTAGAGAGGAGGGGGAAAAGGATATTCTCTCATCAGCTAGTCAATGACAAAGAGCAAATAAACCAGTTTCTGGCTATAAAGACAATTTACTTTTCCTTTTGTAATCGTACATCAAAAAATTTACTGAGACCAAATCAGATTCCTAAATTCAAGAAAAAGTTTTCAAATTTTAAATGTTTCATCTTTAATTCATGATCATTTGCACAATAAAAATTCTTAACCAAAAAATTTTCTCCACTGGCAAAGGGAAAATTCCCAGTCAACATCCTATTCCATACCCAGCTTTTTTTCCACATTAGAAATATACATTACAAAAAAAAGGGGGGTGCTTCCCTGATGGCGCAGTGGTTAAGAATCTGCCTGCCAATGCAGGGGACGTGGGTTCAAGCCCTGGTCCAGGAAGATCCCACATGCCGCGGAGCAACTAAGCCCGTGCGCCACGACTACTGAGCCTGAGCTCTAGAGCCTGCGAGCCACAACTACTGAGCCTGCGAGCCACAGCTACTGAGCCTGCAAGCCACAACTACTGAGCCCACGTGCCACAACTACTGAAGCCCGCATGCCTAGAGCCCGTGCTCTGCAACAAGAGAAGCCACTGCAATGAGAAGCCCGTGCACGGCAACAAAGAGTAGCCCCCACAGGCCGCAACAAGAGAAAGCCCACGCGCAGCAACGAAGACACAAGGCAGCCAAAAATTAATTAATTAAAAAAAAAAACTAACAGTAAATTCTTCAAGAGAAAGAACTATTAAAATGAAGTTGTTGTTTATTAACAAAAGAAGAATTATGCTTCAACAGCCCTACTTTCAACAAAAGGGGAAAATAAAACTGTATTTAATGGAAACTTCAGGAAAATATCTGTCAATAAAAGCTCACTGATTGCAATAGCCTCCAACTCTATTAAATGCCAACATTCTGTAAACGAACTTCATGAAAGAAACGGAAACAAACCAAGAGAGAGAAAATTACTAAATAATTAATTTACGTTGAAAAATGTGGCTCAGGGTAAAGTAAAAGAAGGAGGGAATCCAGTGGCATATTCTCTAGTTTCCTGACAGACTTGAAAGATTTTTCTCTGCTAAATAGTAGATAAAAAAACATTTTTGAGTGCCCTCTGCCTTGAATCCCATTCTTCTTGCATAGACGATATGAAAAGAGTAAAAACATTTTCAGTCCCTCAAGCACCACGCGCACCAGCTCTGAAATCTATCCCTAGTCCATCTACTGCTTGGTACCAACTGTTACCATTCTAGTCCATGGCATGAGCCATCCCTACCCACGGCCACAATGAGAATCTATGAAACGGTCTTCCTGCTGCCACACTCACCCCCCAACCATCCACTCCCCACAGAGGAGCCTGTGAGACCTTTCAAAGTACAAATCAAATCCTGTCACTCGCCTGTTAAAACCTTTAACCATGACTTTCAACTCATCCAACAGAAGGACCCACCAGACCCTCCGTGATCAGATCCCGGCCACCTCGCCTCGCCCATCTCCTTTCCTTCTGGCCTCACCCACTCCTTCAACTTGCCCTCGAAGCCCAGCACTGCTGACAGTTCCCTGTGGTGGCGACTGGCGCAATGCAGGATGCTGAACAGCATCCCTGGCCTCGACCCACCAGCTGCCATTAGCACCACCTCCCAGACCCCAGCTGCCACATCCAAACATGTCTCCAGGCGTGCTCTTAAAGAAGCCAAGCTCCCTCCTGCTTCCTGGTCCTTTCCCCTCCCGTTCCCTCCACCTGAAATCCAACCCCCAACACTGGAGGTGGGTGACTGGTTCCTTTCCATCACTGTCTCAGCCTGGCTGCTGGGACCACTCAGAAAGGCCATCTCTCATCACCCACTTCCATCACATCTGTCACCTGGAGCCTAGCGTAACAGGGTACAAATTAAGTGCTCAAAGAGCACCTGCTGGAAGAATGCATAAATCTCAGTATTCATGAGAAAAGTGCTCAAGTGGCAGGATCCTAATATTTAATACGTGATGTCACGGTGGCAATCCTGGATCCTCTGCTATCCTGTATCTGCCTGCATCTTTCACACGTGAGCATTTGCATGTGCCATTAATCTGTCCTTTGGAATTATCAGTAGCATTACCGTCAGTTAGCGCATCTTTCCCAAGGATGGGGGAATAGAGAGGCATCTGAGCTCAGAAGAGCGCGGAACAGCCAACCTACTGCTAAAACAGCCACGGCCGAGAGAGTCCAGGGGTGTCCGCTCACGGACACAGATGGTTCACCATTGTATCTAAGTAGTCACTCTAATTTATCTTGTTTTGAGTACAAAAAGGTCAATAATTTTGACTTAAAAAATAAAAGCAAGAGGAAAAACATGACTCTGGCTACTATTTCAAAGGCAAAAGGCTATAACGGATGAAATGTGAGAGCTGAATCTTAACTGATCAATCAGCTTTTACTGTTTTCATGTGAACTGGTAAAAATCCATTCAGGTTAACCGTACGCCGAACAGTTAAACCCCGCAAAATTGTAGCGTCTCTAATCAGTAGTCGAGATGAATTCCATTCAACTCTCAAAATACTTATTCACCTATGTCCTAATGGTCCTTTTAGTTACTTCTGGAGTTGTTTCTGATACTAGTGCTTTGAATATACATTTCTTCAGAACATTAATGCAGCTGTTTTTTCTAAATTATCACATCACTGCTCTGAACGGCTAAAATGTAATTCTAGGTATTAATCAAAATCACTGCTTTAAAAGCCACCACTCATCGGAGCCTTTCCACAAGAACTTCTGGACAGGAACGTGAGGCCCAACAGAGCAGCAGGGGGTGGGCGGCACCTACCAGTTGTGCACCATGAGCTTCTGCACGGCCAGGAGGGCGTTGTAGCGCACCTGCTGGTCCTCGTGGTGCATGTGGTTCATCACCAGCTGCTTCCCGCCGAGCTGCTCGATGACCCTGGGGGCCAGAAGCCACGTGGTGAAGACGCTGCAGTTACTTTCAAATGCAAGCTGTTAGCAGAAAGCCCCAACTCCGAACTGCCCAGTGGTTTTACAAAGAAAAGTTACCGTACAGGTAAGTAAACCAACACACGTGTCTTTTTTAAAATATCATTTTCTCCAAATCACAGACTTAAAGTTTTTATATATTTTCTCTTGAATCCCTAGTGATAAATCCAACTGTTACTCTCATTTCCTAGTCTGGGCAAATGTCATCAACCTGGACTGCTGCAGTAATCTAGATTACAGTGTTCTATAGGCAGTTGAGTAGTAACTTCTTTATCACCAGGATTTGTGGCTTGCTTAGAAACCAGTATACTGAATAGCACCTTATGTCTGAAGTAACATCAGATCAGCACTAAGCCCAGCAGTCGCCATGCTGTGAACCAGATGCGGACTCAGACGCAGACAGCAGAGAGCACGAGGTTAAAAAGCACTCCGTAGGAGCCACGTTAATTTCCTGAAAAAACTTGATTTGTTAAGATATCTGCCCTTTCCTGTAATGATGGAACATGAACATGCCACATGACCTGCTGGGCAGTGAAACAAATGAGAAAATTCCTGTTGTCAAGAACACCAGGAAGACTGACAACCAGCACCGCTTTCTGTCACTGCCCCCTCAACCCCCTGAAAAATCCAGTTACTACAAACACAAAAGCAAAGTGAAAATGGTCATTTGCCTCACGAATGGAAGGAGGTTCTCTGCTCCTCTGGGGGGGAGCGGGGGCGTGCAAAGAGCCGGCGAGTGTCTTTAACCCCAGCCTGGGAGTGTGGGAGCTGCGGTCGGTGCCGCCTGGTGAGTGACATCGCCACCACACAGTCCGTGACAAGTGGCACCTTAGTGCAGCAGGGCTCCTGGTGGTTTAAGACAGCCTCGCAGGTGAGCACATGGGGTCAGGGGTGAGGGAGGGGCTTTATCTGTACGCCTTTTTATATTTTATTTTTTAAAGCATCTTTTTTAAAAAAATGTACTGAATTGAGAAAAATAATGCAGTATAATTATACCCAAACTTTATGAGTGCTTGATCCGTGCCAGGTATGCAACAAGCTTCTCCAAACAGCACACAACAGCCTCAGTCTCATTTAATGCTTTCTCCCTCAACTCCCATCCTTTCACTGTTAGCGTACCTAAGTGATTTCACATTACCAAGCCAGCCTCACCTCCTCTGCAAAGCCTTACCTGTCTCCTCCCAGAGGGAATTCCTCACTCTTCAGTACTTGGAAACACATCCTTCCATTACTATATATCTACTGTGACTTTTCTTACACGTGTTATATTTCCTTTTATATTTGGAACCTACTCAGGTCAATAACAATATAACCACAAATAATAATTGAAAAATCACCAGTGCTAACAAAATGGCTTTTGAATTAAATCATACAAACCAAAGAAAACCCTGAACGTGAAATTTCTGGTGTGATCTCTGCTGGCTACTGCACAACAGTATTGTACACGTGTGCTTATGTTTTCATACTTCCCATCTTTAATTAGGTTTATCATTTATCACGATTCCCAGTACTATGGTCATCTTGGTTCTGCTCACTCCGTCAGCTCCTCAGCTGAACGAGTCTACTTTACAGGAGTATATAAACTAGGACCTCTATGCGGAATGTCTCGGGACACCCCGAGGAAACCAAGGCTCCTCACTTACCGCTTGCCTCGCGGGTAATGCCGAACGTACTCGCCGACGTCATGGGCAGCAACAGCTAAGACTTGTGGGTCATCGGACACCTCCAGAAGTTTGGTCAAAATCCTGAAATACATTTAATACAAAGAGAGATTGATTTCTAATTCTTTTCTAGAGCACAACAGAGCAAAGGTATAATGCTGATACTTTCCTGAAAATAAACATTTACAAATATAACTGTATTTTCTACAGGTTTCACTGCTACACACGATACACTACACATGATTTACTGCAGGTAAGTTAGCAGCTTTCAAACCTTTATACACACATTAACAGGTCACTTTCAGATTCACAACGTCCACCACCCACAATTCCCACAATACCAGGGAAAGGGAAGAAGGGAAAACATAGGGAGTTTTTAGGGCAGTGAAACTATTCTGTGTGATACTGTGGCACAGCAGGAACTGTACAAAAGAAAGGCATGAACCTGAACGTAAACTATGGACTTCAGTTAAAATAATGTATAAATATTGGTTCATCAACTAACAAACGTGCCACACTTAGGCAAGACGTTAAAAATAGGGGAAACTGTGCCTGGTGGAGGAAGAGAGGGTATATGAGTACTCTCTGTACTCCCTCCAATTTTTCTGTAAACCTAAAATTATTCTAAAAATTAAATTCTATTAATTTTAACAGTTATAGTAAGGTATATATGTAGTAATTCTACCAAGAAACTGAGAAGATGACCCAAAAAGGGGAGATAATATTTGCAAAGCATATTATCTGATCAGGGATTTACATCCAAAATATATTAAAAAACTCTTACAACTAAATACTAAAAAGAGAACCCATTTAAAAAATGAACTAAGAATCTGAACAGACATTTCTCCAAAGATATAAAATGGCCAATAAGGACATGAAAAGATGCCTGACTCGTTAGCCATCAAGGAAATACAAATCAAAACCATGATGAGCTATCACTTCACACTCACTAAAACGGCTAGAATCAAGAAGTCAGACAACAGTAAGTGCTGACATGGAGATGGAGAAATCAGAATCCTCATACACTGCTGGTGGGAATATGAAATTGTACAGCCACTTTGGAAAATAGTCGAGTAGTTCCTAAAATGGTTAAACAGAGTTACCATATGATTCAGCAATTCTATTCATAGATGTCTACCCAAGGAAGAGAAATAAAAACGTACGTCCACATAAAAACTTGTACACAAATGTTTATTACCAGTATTTTTCATAATAACCCAAATGCCCATCACCTAATGAGTGGATAAATAAAATGTAATATGTCCTTATGATGGAATATTATATGACCATAAAAAGGAACAAAGTACTGCTAAATGCTACAACATGAATGAACCTTGAACACATTATGGTAAATGAAAGAAGCTGGTCACAAAAGAATAAATATTATATGATTACATTTACATGAAATTTTCCTAATAGGCAAATCCATAGAGACAGAAAGTAAAAGCTTAGGGCTGAGGGCATGGTTGGACAGAGAAGTGACAGCTAAAGGATACAGGGTTTCTTTTTGAAGTGATGGAAAATGTTCTATAATTGACTGTGTCGATGGTTACACAACCCCGTGAATATACTGATTTATACACTTTAAATGGGTGAATTGTGTGGTATGTGACTTATATCTCAGTAAAAAAGAAAGACACTTGCACATATTAGGTCATCTTTATTATAACAAAGGGAACCGTGCAAAGCAGTGGGGAAAATGTATGTTATTTTCAATAAATGTTGCTAGTTCAATTAGATATCCACGTAATGAAAGAAACAAATCTTGACCTACCTTATACACCTTACCCAAAAACCAATTCCACACGGAATGGAAATCTAAATGTGAGAGGTTAAACGATAAAGCTTCTAGCAGATAACACAGGAGTATATCTTCAGGACCTTGGGTAGGCAAAAACTTCTTAACCAGACACAAGAAAGCACTAGCCATAAACAATAAGCTGAGCTACATCAAAAGTAAAGAGTTAGTGGCATTTGACGTGGTAGAAGAAGAGCTGTGATGAATACATATGACCAAGAAACCTATAGAATTCCCACAAAAACAAAAACTTGAACAGGCACTTCTCATGGGAAAAAAGATATCCAAATGGCCAATAAGCACACGAAAAGGTATTCAACCACATGAGTAAGGAAGAAAATAGAAATTAAAACCACGGAATATCTAAAAATTTTAAGAGGGACAAAAATGTGTCCACGAGTTATGTGGAAGGATGGGGGTTTTTCAGAGTGTAAACTGGCATTTAAAACTTACTTCAAGAGCTCATAATTCTTCTCATTTAATCTCACAGCATTTTCTCTCCAAAATTTCTCAGATTTGTGCACAGGACTCCATTCCAATCTTCCAGATTTAAGTTCTGAACTATATTCATCAAATGAGCTGTAAAAAGATTTCAAAGTTTATAAGAATATGAGAGATAGATACTCCAAAATTTAATAAAATATCTTCACTAATTATTTAACTACAAAGACTGATCATACTTTGTACATTCAAAAATTACCTCTAAACAAGTTTAAATGGCTTAATTTTCAATAAATCATGTGAAACTTATTCAGGGTACTAAGGTCCAGTACTCCTGTCAAATTTGAATGTTCACCATGAGATATTAAAAGGAGCACTTGCTTTCAAAATTCTAACCTTAATATACACATAAATGTATGTACATCACTAAAATATCTGATAGGGACTTCCCTGGTGGCACAGTGGTTAAGAATCCACCTGCCAACGCAGGGGACACGGGTTCAAGCCCTGGTCTGGGAAGATCTGACATGCCGCAGAACAACTAAGCTCGTGTGCCACAACTACTGAGCCTGTGCTCTAGAGGCCACAAGCCACAACTACTGAGCCTGCGTGCCACAACTACTGAAGCCCACACGCCTAGAACCCACGCTCTGCAACAACAGAAGCCACCGCAGTGAGACGCCCGCACACAGCAATGAAGAGTAGTCCCCGCTCGCCACAACGAGAGAAAGCCCGTGCACAGCAACAAGGACCTAACGCAGCCACAAATAAATAAATAAATAAAAATAAATTAAATATCTGATAATCTAGCATTGTTTCTACCATGCCTCTTAAAACACTGTATTTGCCAGACCACTAGATACATAAAAATAAATTTATGTAAAAGTATATTACTTTAACACAAAATAAAATAGTATATTCTATTATACTTTAAATGACAAACCGTGATACTGCAGTATAAAAATAAAAACACATACCTCAGTACAATATTTTTAAATGTGACTACCAACAATGCAGAGGTAATCCATTAACTGAATTAGCCCACTACAGATTAATTAAAAACAAAAACCTCTGTACATGTAACAAACTAAAATGCACTTTAATTCAAAAATTATTCACTATGTATCAAGCAACAATCATTCAAATCTTCATAATATAAAACTGCTTTAATGTGGTTAGCCAGTGAACGAAGTGACAAGACATGCTTATACTTTCTTTCAAGTAAAATTTTCAAAAAGAAGTAGCTATTTAATACTGATTGATAATTCAGTATAACAAAGATTCACTGGCTAAGTTGATCAGAGTAACCTGTTAAATAAAGTAGTAACTTAATGAAAGGCTATTTAGTATAAGTAATATTGTTTAACTAATATTGTTAAACAATATTGTTTAACTAATATGCTAAACCTGTAACAATATAAAGAGACAAATCTATTTCAACTGCTCCCATCACCATGTTAGCTGTATGTAAACAGCAATATTTTTCCCATTACCAAATTCAACATGAAAAATCAGTAAATAATAACAATTGGCTAGCATGGATTAAATAACTTAGAAAGCTATCACTAACCTTATTTATTTTTTTAAAAGGGTCTCAAATCATTATTACAGAAGAATTAATGAGAATTTTTTAAATAAACATAATAAAACAGAATTTGTATAAACTGCAAGCCTATTGCTAGCCTATTATATTACAAACAACTTATTCATATTCGAAATTATAAAAAGACAAAAATCATCTGCCTTCCTCCACAAAGCTCCACACAAACCACTGATACGGGTGACAGCTCCCATCACTACAAAAGCTTTGGGGCCTTGGGCTTATGGGCTGCACTGAATTATCTGGTAAACACATTTTTGGAACACATACTATGCTAAAGGCACTTGCTGGACACCTCATGGAAAATCCTACAAGGTTAGAATTTTTATCACTATTTTACCAAAAGGAAAATTGAGACTTTACAATGTCAAGAGGCTTGTTCAAGGCCACACGTGGACAAAGTGGCCAAACAATTCAAACTGGAGTCATCCTGGCTCCCAAACCCAATCTACTTCTAGTGAGTAACCCTCTTTCTAAAATGTATCAATAGTTCAAAAACAAAGAATGCATGGGTTAATGGGAAAAATCATCAAGCTATTATTAAACAAAAAAGAACCAGGACCAGAAGAATACATAGAACCCTATTTGTGTGTGTCTGTGTGTGTGTGTGCGCACGCACATGCATGCATGCTAGGGGGAGGGGGGGCTAGGGTTTTTTGGGAATGAACACAACAAACCAGAGGGGCAGGGGGAAGTAGGTGGGGAAGATGGGGGTACTGGTGTGTTGTCCCTTCTGTACTGTATTGTATTCTGTAGTGTACTGTATTCTGTATTCTGTACTGTATAAAAAAAGGGATTTTTTTCTTTACTGCATGTACATCACTTGCATAATTTTTAATATAAAAAATAAATAAAACCAATAGGGACTTCACAAAAGCAGGAGGGCTTCCCTGGTGGCGCAGTGGTTGAAAGTCTGCCTGCCGATGCAGGGGACACGGGTTCGTGCCCCGGTCCGGGAAGATCCCACATGCCGCGGAGCGGCTGGGCCCGTGAGCCATGGCCACTGAGCCTGCGCGTCCGGAGCCTGTGCTCCGCAACGGGAGAGGCCACAGCAGTGAGAGGTCCGCATACCGGGAAAAAAAAAAAAAAAAAAAAAAAAAGCAGGAAAAAATACTCTTTCCATATCTAAGCAAACCTCCTCCACAAATTAACAATGACTGCTGCTTAAAAAAGATTTTAAACCAGGGGGAGATTCTCAAAGGGTGGCACCCACAACCCGTGGTAGAACACCAGGTCAGATTTTAGACAACAGAGAACAGTGGGGATCTACACGAAAGAGGAGAAATCACATACAGCTCTGACCAATGGTTGCCATGACGGTGAGCCAGTGTTTCCATACCCCTCAATTTTCAATAGAAGACATGATGTTTTAGTGCAATCTTTTGAGTTTATAGTTCATAACAAATTTAAATTTCCTTAAAATATGAAGCAAGTCAAACAAGGCCCAATATACCCAGCCTGTGAGAATTAAAAAGAATAACATACCTAAGATCCTGGACACTCTCACCAAGTTTCTCCAAGAGAAATTTTATATCTTCACTGATATCTTCGTCATCATACTTCTGCTGTTCCAAGTTCTCCAACTGTTTCAGAACTTTGCACTGAATCATAGCCAGAGCATACTCTTGGCGAGTTTCTCTTTCAGTTGATTTTTCTAAGAAGTTCTGGGTTAGACAAAGACACAATGAGAAATGATATAATTTGTTATGTGATGTCTCTGCACCTGCTTTCACATCCTCTCTCCCCTTCCTGTTCTCAGGTTAACTATCACCTTAAGTGGATGACTGGATCACAAATCCTGACTTCTTTCCTAAGCATCTGTCCCACATCAGGAGCATCCTTCTGATTCCTTCATTACTTACTGGTTTACTAAACATTTTAAATTATTGACCTAGACAAGCCTCAAAACACTGAACACATTTACAGTGAGGTCCATCACCATCCTTCCTCACAGCCCTGCTCTTGAGGTCACCACCAAGAACACTCCATTTCTTGGCCACATGGAGCCCTTAGGATGCTAAGAAAGACTGTTTCCTCAAGTATCTCTCTAGTTCCCAGTCACTGACCTTTTTCTCCGTCCAATCAACCTGTCAGTGCACAAAGGACAGCAATTAAAAAAACTCTCTTGCTTCAGTAATTATCAGAAAAGTTTTGTGACATTCAAGCAAATTCCTCAGTTTTCTTCTGCGATTTTTAAGAGTACTGATGAAATCAGCAAAGGAATCTAAGTATTTCTGAAGATAAACTGTTCACTAAATTAACCAATATTTCAGAGCAAAACCATGCTCATGCTGAGGTCTAGAACAAGGACAAACAAGCTCTCAAGAAAGCCACCTTCACAAAGTTGGTAAAGAAGGCCTGTCAAATCTCCCACACTCAAAAAAATCCTGGAATAACAATTCTAAATCAACTGTACCAAAATTTTAAATTTCTTTATTTTTGCAAGGAAGTTATATTTCTAATAATTATGCTAAATAAATGCAGAGAGAGATTTAGCTTAGCATATGGAAATTAGTGAGATCGATCCCTACCAAAATTCCAATTTTCACAGAAATAGGAAAAACAATGCTAAAACTTGTATAGAAATATAAAAGACTCCAAATATCCAAAGCAATCCTGAGAAAGAAGAATAAAGCTAGAGAAGTCACACGTACTGATTTCAAACTAAACTACAAGCCTACAATGATCAAAACAGTACGGTAATGGCATAAAACAGACACAGAGTGCAATGGAACAGAATAGAGAGCCCAGAAATAAGCCCGTACATATTCAGTCAACTAATATTTGACGAGGGAGCCAAGAAAACCTATTGGGGAAAGGATAGTCTCTTCAATAATGCCAGCAGGGAAACTGGATAACCACATGCAAAAAAATGAAATTGGACCCGTATCTTATACCAGTCACAAAAACTAACTCAAAAGAGATTAAAGACTTAAACATAAGACCGGAAACTGTCAGGCTCATAGAAGAAAACACAGGGGAAAATCTCCTTGACATTAGCCTTGGGAATGATTTTTTGGATATGACACCAAAAGCACAGCAAAAGTAAAAATCAACAACTGGGACTATATCAAACTAAAAAGCTTCCGCACAGCCAAAGAAACAAAAAAAGCAAAATGAAAAGGCATCCTACAAAATGGGAGAAAACATTTGCAAAACATACATCTGATAGGAGGGCAATATCTAAGATGTATAAAGAACTCATTTAACTCACTAGCAACAACAACAACAAAAAAGCACAAGCCAATTAAAAAATGGGCAGCGGCTCTATATAGACATTCTCCCAAAGAAGACATAAACATGGCCAACAGATCATGAAACAGTGCTCAACATCACTGATCATCAGGGAAAATCAAGTCAAAACCACAATTAAATATCACTTTGCACTTGTTAGGACAGCTACTATTAAAAAACAAGACAGCCAGTGTTGTCCAGATTGTGGAGATAAGAGAACACTTGTGCACTACTGGTGAGAACGTAATATTAACTTCAAGTATAATGGAAAAGGTTAAGGATAAATATTGTGACACCAAAACAACCTATAAGAAATAAAATACTACAAAGCAGCACAGTTAAAAAGCCAATAGAAAAATTAAACTGAAATTCTAAAAAGAACTCAGTTAACGTAAGAGAAGGCAGGAATGGAAGACAGAACAAAAAACCGATGAAACAAACAGAAGAAAATAATAAAATGGTAGACCTAAATCCAACCACACCAATAATTACTCTAAATGTCAGTGAACTAAACACTCCAATTAAGAAGCAGAGATTATTAGAACAGATAAAAATTCAAGACCCAAGTATATGTTGTCTCAAAGAGACAAATTTTAAATATAAGACACAGATAGGTTGAAACTAAAAGATGGAAAACCATAAGTGGAAGAAAGCTGGCATGTCTATATTAATTTCAAGTAAAGTAGATATCAAGACCAAGAGCACTGGGACTTCCCTGGTGGCGCAGTGGTTAAGAATCCACCTGCCAACGCAGGGGACATGGGTTCGAGCCCTGGCCCGGGAAGATCTCACATGCCGCGGAGCAACTAAGCCCGTGAGCCACGACTACTGAGCCTGCGCTCTAGAGCCTGCGAGCCACAACTACTGAGCCTGCGTGCCACAACTACTGAAGCCCACGCGCCTAGAGACCATGCTCCGCAACAAGAGAAGCCACTGCAATGAGAAGCCCGTGCACCACGACGAGGAGTAGCCCCCGCTCACCACAACTAGAGAAAGACCGCGCGCAGCAACAAAGACCCAATGCAGCCAAAAATACATAAATATAAATAAATTTAAAAAAATAAAAAGTTAAAAAAAAAAGAGCTTCAAAATACATGAAACAATAACTGGCTGAACTGAAAGGAGAAGCAGACAAATCCACACTAACAGCTGGAAATTTTAACAAATCTCTCTCTTAGCAACTGATCACTGATAGAACCACTAGACAACAGAATCAGTACAGAGATGATCCAAACGATACTATGAACCACCCTGATTTAACTGACATTTACAGAATGTGATACATCTGCAAAACATGCATTCTTTTCAAGTACACATGCTACATTCACCGTGACAGACCGTAAGATGAGCATAAGACAAATTTCAAAGAATTGGAACCATATAGAACATGTTCTCTGACCATAATGGAATTCAAATAAAGACCTTAAACTGTAGGGTGCCTTGAATTCTGATAACATCTCCCTTTATGAAACTCCTCCCTTCACCCCTCGCTTTTGTGAGATTTTACTTATTAGTCTACTTAGTTTTCTCTGTTACCTTTTCCAGTTACTTTTCTTACTACTATCTCTCCTAAATTTAGAAACATATCAAAACTCTTCTGTTCATATGGTCCTACACATTTGTTGCCAGGAGAGTTACACTTCATATTTAAGATATTATCATAACTAACAGTTTCAACTATAACCTCAACCCAGTCAGTGTAACTGGTAAAGAACAGCCCGATGGCGCTCTTCTGAAACCATCTCTCCTCTCGATTCCCTAAGACAACAGCACTTCGAAATTTAGTCATGTTTGACGCTCCCCTTTCCTTCAAGCCTATGTCAAATCAATCAATAAACCTTACTTGTTTTTCCCTCGAAACATGTTTTAATTTCATCTCTCCATCTCATTACAAAGAATAAAAAGGTTGTGAAAAATATTTGGAAAATGAATTTACCAGAAACAAACCTAGATCATCCGGCAGCAGTGCACCCTTTAAAGTGGCTAAACTCAATGGCATCTTCACCTCAACAAAATCAAAAGCGTAAATATCATTTTGGCCTGTGTCCAAGTAACGGTGCAGAGCAACCTTGACTTCACTAAGAACAAAGTGGAACCAAGTGACCATTCAGATCCTTCCTTCACCAAAACTGCTAACCTTGTAACATACATGTTAAAGCAGTGCTTTTCAAACCATCTGTGGTGAAGACCAGTTCTGTTTGATTTTCAATTTCCAATCAGTCAGGAACAAATACTTTTAGTAAAAAATACAATAAAAATGAATTTCTAGAAAAATGAACTTTAAAAGACATGCAAAATACAAGCTCAAATCTTATATTATTAAATTTGACAGACATGTCAAATTACTGTAAGTTTCTAAATGCTTGCTCTCACTTTCTGTACTTATCCCTTGCCGGCTGCTAGCCAACAGCTGACAGAACGGCACCAAAGCAGTGCTGTTATTATGGGACTCAGCCCAAGATTAAAAATGTCTCAGTCTTACCAAACCTCTTCCAAACCTGGTATCTAATAAACGAGAGATAAATTCCTGAAATAAGGAATGAGGGATGGATCTAGGAATAAAATTTCTTGATAGCAACACTTCTATGTCAAAGCAGTGGGCAAAACAGTCCCCATACACCCAAACCAGAGCAGGTGTCTCTGAAGGGGTTATGACTGTGAACTGTCTGCAGAGGAAGATGTAAGTCTGTGTTTGTCTGTGTCTGTGTGTGCATATGCGTGTGGGTGTGAGTTAAACATCATGGTTAGTACAGCTAATGTAAATCCAAATTCAGTTTGGTGGTATTTCTTTCTAAGCTTTTATGCTGAAAACCATGCAGTTGTAAAATACAATTTATCTTATTATCTGACATATTACGGAGGCTCTTGACTAAACAGAGCCAAAAAGAGAAAAACTCTACACAGCAAATACGGTCTTGAATGTCTTTCTCAGTCACAGCCTCAAAAAACATTCTAATTTATTTTAGAAACGAAAGATTGACATATCAAGTTAACCAATGGAATAACATTCATGGAGACCTGGAGTTCAGCACCTGCTATGAATAATTGAGACAGACATTTTCAAAAATAAATTCACCCAGCCAAATGGAAAGAAAAAAAAAATTAACAGCTGCTAGATTTCTTCAGCTCACAGCAGCTCAGCAAGCTTCCAAAAGCACAAAAATTCCCCTCCCGAGTTTCAGGATGTGGGGAAAAGTGTGCATAATCAGACAATCCTCAAACAACCTCATCGGTGAAATCTCTATTAAAGGTTACAGGAATTTGAGAATAACAAAGAAAAAAAAGAACACGTCATTTTTTACACCTATTCGATGGTCTAAATCAAATGGCTTTACTATGTCCTTACTAATGGCTCGATTTTAACTCAGTTGTGTACATCAAAGTTCGGGATGTCTAAAGATGTTCTTCTGATATTCAGTCTTCAGTATAACCATGCAATGATTTATCCCAATTTATCAAGGACAGTCCAAAAAACTAATATACCTGTCAATAGGTTGCGTGTATTTTAAATAAGCTGAAATCCAAATTAGACAATAGAAGCCGAGAAATTAGCATAAGTTCAACACATTGTGGGTAAAAAATTGAAACTGCAAATGAAGTATAAATAAGATTTTTAAATCTTGCTAAATAAACATTAGTAAAATATTCATGCTGTCTTTTCTAAATCAAACAGAACAGCACTTCATCTTTGCCTAGGTTCCACATTAACTTAGAACGCAATTTCTACAGGTGGGCGTTAAAGAGGCAAATTGCTAGTATTTTATGCTTTTATGGAGCGAAAAGGCAGGAAAATAAATACAGATTGTATATTTACTACTGCCAGCCATCGTCTGTTATTTCGTTGAATTCTTACCCAATCTTGAAGTGAGTTAAGTATCACTAACCACCTTTCACAAGTGGAGAAATCAGCTCTGAGAGTTCAAACCACTCTCCCAGCAACCTAGTGCTGGGATTCACCCCTAGGCGTGTCTACTCCAGAGCCTACACTCTTGCTAACACACCACGTGGAAAGGAAAATTAGAAAAGGGTTATGCTATTGTACCCCTCAAATTTTCATAAAAAGCAGATAATCAATCTGGAGAGCTCCCAAATCAGGTCAAAAGAAAACTAAGAATCTCAGTCTGGCTTTATACTTCTTGTACTTTTTGAACTTTGTATACCGTAAACACTCATCATGGTGACTTCATGAAGTCTCTCCATCAGAAACAGATTCACACAAAATACAAAGTCCCTAAGAAAAAGTATCTTGTCATATTCATCCTTCCGTAATTGGTGTTCAATAAACATCTGATGCATTGAGAGGTGGATAGATAATCCATGAAATGGGGGATGGGGGGATGAACAGGAAAAAGAAAGGATAGGATTGGATAGGTAAGGGGGAGGGAGGGAGAGGGGGAGGGAACAGCTCAAAGGTAGGATCCAGCTAATATCAACAAACACCTCTCACCTACCATGTACCCATATTAGAGGTACCTGCTTCCAATGACCCTTTTATCTAACATAATAATGACTTAACATGAAAATCAATGGGAGGAGGAACTAGAGAAGGGACAAAATACTAAGCAAGGTCTGTGGGAAGCTCAGCTAGAACAGCTGCCACATACATTATGGGCAAAGCAGTTTATGCTGGGGGCTGTAGAGGGAGGGACAAGACAGGGGTCAGGGTTAACAGATACCAGCTACTGTGTGTGAAATAGATGAGCAGCAAGGACATACTGTATGGCACAGGGAACGACAGCCATTGTTGTGTAATAACTTTCAATGGAGTATACTCTATAAAAATACTGAATCGTTATATGCCTGAAACTAATGTAATATTATAGATCAACTGAGATAATAAATAAATAAATGATTTGATAAGACAAATGGCTTGTCTCAAAAAAAACCCAAAAACGGACTTCCCTGGTGGTGCAGTGGTTAAGCATCTGCCTGCCAAGGCAGGGGACACGCGTTCGAGCCCTGGTCCAGGAAGATCCCACATGCTGTGGAGCAGCTGGGCCCGTGAGCCACGACTACTGAGCCTGCGCTCTAGAGCCCGCGAACCACAACTACTGAGCCCATGCTCCACAACAAGAGAAGCCACCACAATGAGAAGCCCGTGCACCACAAGGAAGAGTAGCCCCTGCTCACCACAACTAGAGAAAGCCCACACACAGCAACAAAGACCCAACGCAGCCAAAATACATAAATAAATAAATTTATTTAAAACAAAAACAAAAGCATCTTACGCTGAGCTTTAGATTAAATCTCAATCCATTACTATAAATTATTAGTATCTGATTTCTTCCTAAAACTCACAGCACTCACTATATTATCTAAATGACACTTATAAAAAACCATGTAAGGGGGCTTCCCTGGTGGCGCAGTGGTTGAGAGTCTGCCTGCTGATGCAGGGGACACGGATTCATGCCCCAGTCTGGGAAGATCCCACATGCCGCGGAGCGGCTGGGCCTGTGAGCCATGGACGCTGAGCCTGCGCGTCCAGAGCCTGTGCTCCGCAACGGGAGAGGCCACAAGAGTGAGAGGCCCGCGTACCGCAACAACAACAAAAAAAAACATGTAAGTTTATCAAAACTGAGGGGGAAAGATACAAGTGTAGAGATATAGTCTATGAAACAAGAGAACAGCTGAAATAAGACCCTGAGTTCTACAGCAGTTCTTCCCACACCTATACTTCACCTTAAACAAGTCACCTTATTAACAAATTATCAAAAGAAATAATTTTGTGCTAAATGTTTACAATCTTCAACATTTGGAAAGATAGATATTTTAACGTAAAAAATATGTAACTAACATACAGAAAAGGGTAGGTAGCTATGAGCTGAAAAAATACGATTCACTTCCATGTTTATCACTCAGGCAACTGTTGATCTTTCTATTTCCCAGAAGTGAAAGTCATACAAAGGGAAAAAAAATAATAATCCAAAACATCTTTCTAGGATAATCTAATTGCAAAGATATTGAATCAAGGATGACTATCTTTCCTAACAGTTCACCAATTAAGAAAATCTATTTTTTTAAAAGAGTTTTCACGCCAACTTCATGAACAGCTTCCAATTTAGAAAAAAGTCCACGCACTAAGAGAAAGAAAGTAGGGACTCTCTGTATTCTTGCCCAATATATAATTACTGGAAACATAAATTTGCACTTTTCTTTTTTGCAGTACGCAGGCATCTCACTGTCGTGGCCTCTCCCATTGAGGAGCACAGGCTCCGGACGCGCAGGCTCAGCGGCCACGGCTCACGGGCCCAGCCGCTCCGCGGCATGTGGGATCTTCCCAGACCAGGGCTCGAACCCGCGTCCCCTGCATCGGCAGGCGGACTCTCAACCACTGCGCCACCAGGGAAGCCCAATTTGCACATTTTTGAAAGGTGATTTGACATTATCTATAAGAACTGGTAAAAAGTATATTCTTGACTCAGCAATTCCATCTCTGGAACTTACCCAACCGAAATACTCATCAAAGTGGGAAAACATATGTAAAAGAAACTGGAAACACCTCACATTTCCATCAACAGGACACTGATTACATAAACCACTTTACATCAACACAGTAGAATATAGCCACTGAAAAGAACACTGAAGATCTAGTACAGGAAAATGAAAACACATTTATTATATATTGTTAAGAATAAAGTTATAGAACAGTATTTATAGCCTGACACCACTCTTATTTTTAAATACAAAACAAAATTAGACACCTATTTATATATTTATCTCTATTTGCTTAGAAAAATCTGAAAGATGTTAGTGACTATATTTGGCAAATGTGGTGTCTATGCCATTTACGGTTTTGCAATACATCTGCACAACCTTTTATTTTTGATTTGTCATTGTTTGTTTAAGGAAAGCGTAAGAACAAACAATGGTTAAAAACACAAATTCTAAAGCCAATAGCTTGGATTTGTAGGTCTATCATCTCCCAGCCACTCTTACGTGTCATCCATGTAGATGGCTTCCCCCCACCTGTCCACTCCCCCTGCCATGAGTACAAACTGGGATATTTTACTCCAAGCTCACCAAGATGCCACACTTCCATAACTACATGGAGAACAAGCAACTTTTTCCCACCTGCTAAAATAAAAGCCCTGAAATATACTCCACAGTAAGAAAAAAATGCCTTACACACACACACACACACACACACACACACACACACACAAAACACGTACCCGGAATGCTGCAAGAATGATTCTTGTCACTTTCTCTTTGACCGATTCTTGCAGGATGTCGGACAGAACAGGAATGATGTTGTAGCGTCGCAGGTGTTCACACATCTGAGGACTGAACGCCAGGAGCCATATAGAAAAAATCATCTGATACTGGAGCTGAAAGCCACACTTGTTACTCAGAACTCCCATGATGCTGAAAAGGAACGCACGTTGAGAAAACATTTAACACGACAGTACAACAGGAGAGAAGAAATAACTGATTGTTCTTTTTGCGCTGATGGATCAGTCTCTCTGAATCACGTCCTCTTTTTCCCCCCGAAGGAACGAGCAAGCCAGACCCCTGCTCACAGAGGGCCAGTCCTGCACGGCGTCACGTAAGCCTCTCTCCAGAGTCTCAAGGACACCACCGCCCTCGCTGCAGGGAGCACGGCCCACAGAGGGAACAGTAGGAGGACCCTGACGGACATTCAAGAAGTAAAAGCCTCAGGACATGGTGACACAGCGGATGCACATCTCAGTGAAGCCAGACGGTATAATCAAGATTTTCAGTCTGGACTGAAAATGATCCAAGAGGATCATTTAGAGCTTTAAAAATATTTAGGAAACTCGACAGAGAAAAGAGGAAATGAGTTTGGAAAAAGCCTTTCATGAGTCTGAATTTGACACACAGCCAATCATCAAATTTGGGGTCAGAACCTCAGAAGCTTCTAGTTCAGCCTCCCGTCTTACTGTAAACATAGTCAGTAAGAACATATCAATATTGGTTCATCAACTGAAACAAAGGTATCACACTAACACCAGCTGCTAGTAACAGGGAAGACCGTGGGAGCGCAGGCACATACGGGCACTCTCTGTGCTTCCAATTGTTCTGTAAACCTAAAACTGCTCTAAAAAATAAAGGTCTGTTAACGAAATTAAATACATTTTAAATCTAATTTTGCGATTTACAACTACTAACTTAGTGGAAGGCTTATATTTGTGCCATTTCCCCATTTTTGTGATTTGTATACACTTATAAATTCGCTGAATTGCCCTTAATTTTCTCATGCATGATTTCTCCCTTGAACCTGTTCTACTTTTGGTTGGTACGTAAGGCCTGCTTTTATTTAATATTGATGTCAGCATTCAACAGCGGTCAAAGCACAGCATTTTATACTATCAGCACCCTGGTACCTGGCTTCCTTTGCGCTCTGACTGTTCCACTTGTTAAGGTCAGCCTGCTACACTCTGGGATGTTGTGGCTGACAATTCACTTTCCGCGTTCCCCATTTCCGCTTTCCCCGCTGGCTCGGCGACAGGAGGTGCTCGCGGCTGACTCAGGGATGGAGGAAGAAGGGACCTCTCCTGTCGACCTCCTGTTCCTGCCAGCATCACTTCAGCACGCTTCTTCACCCGCGGCAGCAGCTGAATTCATCCTGCACGGGCTCTGGCAGAACGAGCGTCCCTGCACCCTCGAGACACTAGCACCTGCCGTCTGGGCCCCCGACCTCGAGGGTGGGGACCCAGCCCCAGCTGAGCTGTACTGTCCCCTCCAGGCCTGAACTTCACTTCATGCAGCCCCTCCTGCAGCCCGTGAATCCTGGCAAGTCCAACCTCTTACCCTTTGCTCCCCGCTTTAGGGGTAGTAGGATCCCTGACACTTGAGAGTCCCTTTATTTACCTGTTTTCAGAAACCCAGTTCACAAATTTATACCTAGTTTATACCTAGGGAGAATTTAATTTCTTCACATTAAATTTTCTGTTAAAAGGAAAAATTTTTAACGGTGAGAGGGGCGAAGGAGAGCTCAAGGCCAATACACTGGTGCTGAGATCCAGACGGAAGGTCTCAAGGGGAGGCGTGCTCAGCGATGCGGACACCGCAGAGAAGCTGAACAGAGTAAAAGTGTGCCCACAATAGACGGGATTCTATTGCAGAGACAAGGTGGTCTTCTATACCCAAATATCAACCACAGAAACGCCCTAATGAAGCAAAATAAGGCCCCTGTTCACTGAAATAAGGCAGGGATTCCCTTAGGGGCAAGAACCCAACTCTGAATCCAGTGAGGCAGGAAGAGCGAGCTAAGGGGGACAAAGGACACAAAGGCCCAACAGAAACCCAAACACAGTCATTTAACAAGTATCTGTTGAGGGTCTATGCGGCAGGTACAGCGCAAGGCACGGGGATAAAATGGGCAAAAACAAGACACTGTCCATGTTCCTTGAGAGCCCAGTGCAGGGGGAGGGAGGATTCCCAGAGGCCGTGGCCCTCGAGCTGGGCCTGAAGAACCAGCGGGTGCTAATTACCATGTAGGTCTCTGCTCTCCCTCGCAAACTGGTGAGTTTAGTGTTACTTTTAAAGTCACTGTAAAAGTTACTCAAAGATGCTGTGGCATCCTATGTGCTACCTTTGTTAGGTGTTTCATACTTTCCAGCTACGCTGTATATCTCTTAAAGGAAAGGACTACATATGTTTCCTTTACTCCCCATAATATATGGTATAACATCATGCAGAGTGCAAAAAACACAAACTGTCAAATCCAAGATCAGAAAGGAGGTTAAGGTCCATGACGCCAAAATAACTATTTTGTGCCCTGCTTTTTTAATGATGATTTTTCTTTTTAAATCATGCCAACGCAGGGACTAGGGAGACAAACAGCTGACCACTGGCTGACATGCACACTTCCTGCTGTTCGTCAGACCCATGGGCCCCTCACACCTCACCATGCGATATTTTTTTTTTAATCTTACCTTTCATTTATATACTACTTTATACTTTCAAAATACTTCAAATGTCAGGATATAAATGTTCATAAATGGCCGTTGGATTTGGGGAAGCAATTACCCCAGCAAAAGCCCCCTTTTAGCTCCAGTATTTAAAAAATCAGTGCTAATCTTCAGACTTTCTAGTGAAGTCAAAGCATACTCTTGATCTTACACGGGCCCAGAAACATTCAGAAAGAGTGTGTGTCATTCATGTAATAACCAAGAAGGAAAGAAAAGAAACTATGCAGAGATAAAAAGGTCCTGGGGTCTTAAACCATCAGTCCTCTTCCACTCTCCTCAAACAGGGTATGCTTACAATTTTTTCTCCTCTCAGGATCCCTGCTTGTGATTTGAGGAGCACCAAAAAGGAAAAAAAGAAAACTTTCGACCCTAAACAAAACAAATGGCAGAGTAAAAAGTATGTGTTTTCTTTCTTAAAAAGCGAAAAAAGGGGCTTCCCTGGTGGCGCAGTGGTTGAGAATCTGCCTGCTAATGCAGGGGACACAGGTTCGAGCCCTGGTCTGGGAGGATCCCACGTGCCGCGGAGCAACTAGGCCCGTGAGCCACAACTACTGAGCCTGTGAATCTGGAGCCCGTGCTTCGCAACAAGAGAGGCTGCGATAGTGAGAGGCCCGGGCACCGCGATGAAGAGTGGCCCCCGCTTGCCACAACTAGAGAAAGCCCTCGCACAGAAACGAAGACCCAACACAGCAAAAATAAATTAATTAATTAATGTCAGATGCAGGCTTGTGACATCCTCTGTCACATAGGGGAGGACGTAAGTCAGGCACAGCAGATAAGCAAAGCTTTCACTTAAAAAAAAAAAAAAGTGAAAAAATTCAATGATTTTTCCAAATTGCCCTACTCTCAGCAAGTTAACATATTCTACCTTTATTAATGCCTGTTCTCAACCTAAAAGTCTCTGTATTAATTTGATTACTACTAACCTTGTTAGTGGGCATTAGCATATCAAAGTGTGTAGGTTGAACATGGAATATTCTAGATTGTATTTATGCCTGCTCTTGTTGCTAAACTGAATAGTTAATACCGCTTACCATCCTCCAAAATATTAGTGCCAACAATATTTTGAACAGCAGCATTTCATTAGCCTCGGTCCACTGGACCAAATTCTAGTATTTAAGTTTATTTTTTGAGCAATTATAACTATTTGTATAAACTGCTGTTTCATGACTTTTATTCTCTCTTATAGGTCTTCCAAAGAACAAAAAAGAAAATCTATTTTTTGTTTAATAGAATAAAATTCAATTTATCTTGCAATTACAATACAGGTCCATTGGACCTATTTATAAACCTAAGATACACTATGTGATCTTGGTGAGTTTGTTAACTATAATTTGAAGAATCACACTATTTCATCATCCTAGATCTTATTTCATCATTATTCATCCATTATTCTCAACTATGCTAATATATATTAGAGACTAAATTATAAGAAAATTGGAGAATGACAGAATCACCTAGGAAGACGATATAATAGTGAAATAAATAATTAACCTTTCTTATTGTATTGCCCAAAATATTGCATCACTTTTAAGAAAGTAAAAAGACTGGAAACACCATCTGTGTAGTCCACCTTTAAGTGTCTGTGCGGAAAAGAGTTAACGTCATGGTCCGGAGACAGCTATCCTCAGAAAGGGCTGCCTGCAAAGCTGGCCCTTGGCTGACTTGCGGGAATTTGACTGGTAATCCGCTCCCTACACGGAAACCAAAGTTCTCCGAAATGACAGGGAAAACTAAACTGTGTGCACAAACAAGATGCTTGTGCTTCTGCTGAGCGCCTGCTCTCCTGCTGGAGCCTGGAACGTTCCATACGAAGTAGAGGGAGCCGACGTGACACACCTCCAGGGAAACCGGGGGCCCTGAGTCGCTAGAGAGTCTCCTGCACAGAAACCTGACACAAGACTTTTTTTTAAAAAAACCTTCTTTTAGATGATTAAATGTATTCATTTCTTTGAAACTGTCAAGGAGAGATGCTTTTAAATGTTACTCCACAGTCAAAATAAAGGGCGCTCACCAGTTCACCCCGTCTGCTTCCACCCAGGCAAAGCGGTACTCGCTGACTCGGAGCATCAGCTGCAGACACCCGGCCACGCACTGCACGTACTGAGAGCTCTGTGCGGGGAGAAGCACAGCGTTTGAAACCGGAAAGCACTTCGAGTCACAAGGTCATGCAGATACCAAATTCTGGAGTGGTTTTTACTAGAGTTTCTTATCATCTGAAAAGTCCGGAAGTCTCAAATATTTCTTCAAAAGTCAATCCTTGTTGCTCTACTCTCGTCCTCCTAGAAACGAAGCTGACTTCTTTTGCCAAATTAAGCCTACACGGCTCAAGCCCACTGAACACATCCAGTCAGGGAAATCAAGGAACAAAGTAATTATGCCTTTGATATGGTTTGATAAACAGCTTATTATCTTGCAATGTTTCACTTAGCCCTGAATAGAGGCACGATACAGAGAATACTGCTCTTCATAATTACACAAGTATCAAAGAACAACAATAAAATGAAAGAGATCAAAGTGTATGCTTTGAGACAGGCCCATATCTGAGTGACCATGAGCAAGTTTCCGAACCTTGTCAATGCTCAATTTCTTCATCCTTAACGAGGATCATGCCCCCAAGCACCCTGAAAGGGTCCTCTTAGTATTAAGTAAAGTAATTCATTTAGCAGAGAGCTAGACATGTCACAGAAACTCAATAAATAAGAACTTTAAAAAAAAAACTATACAGCACATAAGAAGTCTACTTAAACACTTGAAAAAGACTGATTTTTTTTAAACTATCAGTTCAACAGGACTATGTTAGAGAAATTGAGGTTAAATCTGAAACTTGAAATAAAGAGAACAAATATCCCCGAGAAGCTGCACGCTCCTCCATGTTAGGAAAGCTGGTAGCGACACCTGGCCTGGGAGCCTCCCTAAATACCTACCATGAGCCTTATACCTATAAGAAATGGAGGGACAAGGGGAAATTTCAGACCCCAGCCTTAAAGAACATGCTAACAAAAAGAAAGAAAGGAGAGGATCGTGGATGTCATATAAATTCACAAAACCTAATATACATGATGCCACTTCGGCTCTATGTTTTAACTTAAACTAAGTTTGTTAAAACCGAACACTTCAAAGAATTCCAGGCACTCAAATACAAAAACACAATGATATATTTGGAGGAATAATCAAAAGTTATCATGAAAAGGTTATCTTAGATTTTACCTAGAAAGGAGTGAACACAGTTGCCCAAAAGCACACTATATCCAGTAACTTAATTTGCCTGAAAACTCAAAACATTCGCAGAAATTAATGACCAAAAAAAAGTGAATTTTCAGCTCGAAAACAATCTTCCATAATGGGAAGAATATATATATGTATTTTTCAAATTAGGTCAGCAGCTAAGTAACCCTTTGTGGAAAGGAGAATTCCATCTTCCTTGTTTAGAGAGACAGCGTAAGCAAGGTTTCTACAATAGTGAATAAAAGGCAGCCTAGGGCACTCTCTCCTCTTCCACTTGCCATCGATTTCCTCTCAACACGAGAATTTCTTGGTTCACTGTTAAGTCTTTTTCTTATCTGTGTCCACTTACCCTACTATGTTGAAATACATGACACATTTAAAAAATGGGTTCTTCGTTGCTAGTTACAGCTTCAGGACTCACGTATATATGAGCATATAAAAGATGCTGCTTCAGCACTGTTTACAACAGCCAGGACATGGAAGCAACCTAAGTGTCCATAGACAGACGAATGGATAAAGAAGATGTGGCACATATATACAATGGAATATTACTCAGCCATAAAAAGAAATGAAATTGAGTTATTTGTAGTGAGGTGGATGGACCTGGAGTCTGTCATACAAAGTGAAGTAAGTCAGAAAGAGAAGAACAAATACTGAATGCTAACACATATATACATGGAATCTTAAAAATAAAAAGGTTCTCAAGAACCTAGGGGCAGGACAGGAATAAACATGCAGATGTAGAGAATGGACTTGAGGACACGGGGAGGGGGAAGGGTAAGCTGGGACGAAGTGAGAGAGTGGCATGGACATACATACACTACCAAATGTAAAATAGATAGCTAGTGGGAAGCAGCCGCATAGCACAGGGAGATCAGCTCGGTGCTTTGTGACCGCCTGGAGGGGTGGGATAGGGAGGGTGGGAGGGAGGGAGACGTAAGAGGGAGGAGATATGAGGATAGATGTATACGTATAGCTGATTCACTTTGTTATAAAGCAGAAACTAACACACCATTGCAAAGCAATTATACTCCAATAAAGATCTATTAAAAAATTTTTAAAAGATGCTGTTTCTAATGGTACTGATGAACCTAGCTGCAGGGCAGGAATAAAGAGGTAGACACAGAAAATGGACTTGAGGACTTGGGGTGGGCGGGGGAAGCTGGGGCGAAGTTAGAGTAGCATCGCCATATACACACTACCGAATGTAAAATACCTAGCTAGTGGGAAGCAGCTGCATAGCACAGGGAGATCAGCTGGTGCTTTGTGACCACCTAGAGGGGTGGGATAGGGAGGGTGGGAGGGAGGCTCAAGAGGGAGGGGATATGCGGACATGTGTATGCATATGGCCGATTCGCTTTGTTGTGCAACAGAAACTAACACGGTATTGTGAAGCAATTGTACTCCAATAAAGATATATTAAAAAATTTTTAAAAAGGTGCTGCTTCTAAAACTTCACTCTCTCCTGTGATGCACCATGAGGCAGTCCAATTCCAGTCCAGAAATTATTTTCAAAGTACACAGTGAAGGCAACACTGATAAATGACTGAGGTACTGCCTTCAATTAAAGTAAATTGTATCACTGCCTTACCTTTCTCTCACATTGTCCTGTTAGTCTCATGTACAAATTTATTCAATGATTTTTTTTAGAAGAAAATAGTCAGCCTTCAATCAACCCAGCGAGCCACCGACTCTTCCCCCACACAGAGGTCATTCAAACACTGCTGGAGAAGACTGCACAGCCACGCAGAGCCATCAGGAAGCTCTGCTCTCGCCGCCACCCCCAGAGCCACGCTCACACCTTCACCTCTACCCCCCTGTCCCGCTCTCTTCCCTCACCTCAGCACTGAGAGAAAAAACGGAGACCATCAGCTAGCGAGTCACTGAGCTGCCAACATCGCGCCCCCAACTGAACTTCCCTGACGGCCCTTCTCACCTCCCTCTCCCCGAGCAGAGGCAGACAGCTCTTCCTGTCCAGGACCCGCGGCCCCAGCAAGGCCTGTGTCCCACTCCTCCCACACAGCATCGCATCAGTCCGACCCCTCCCTGTAGCTCCGATCTGTTTGACAGGTTTCCTCTCCTTAGCCCCTAAATATACTCAATCTTTCTCGTCTTAAAATTATCCCTAAACCTTGTACCAATCTCAGCATCTTTCTTCCTCCCAAAGCACGAAGTTTTCTTGACAGAATTATCACCAGGTTCTTACCTCTCTGATACCTTATCACTCCACCAACATGGCAAATGCCAGGACCAGCAGTGACCTTAAAGTGCCAGGTCCAACAGTTACTCTCCCCCAGAGAACCAGACCTCTACCTCCAGCTGCTTCCGGGAAAGCTCTCGCCCCTCCCTTCTCCAGCTGAACTGACTCGCAGCTCCAATGTTAACTCCACCACCATGAAAGAAAGGCAGTAATGTAGCCTAACAGTTACGAACAAAGGCTCTGGAACCAGCCTGCCATGCTCAGCCACTTCCAAGCCGTGTGCCCTTGAATGAGCCTCCCACCTATAAAATAGGGATAACAGGGCACATCCCATGGGGTGTGGGGATAATCTCATTAGCTAATATATGACAGACTGGGCTGAGAACCAGCTACAATGTGTACTCTCAAACACACAAACCTCCCTGATAGAGAAAAACTAACTTTACTTCTCAACACATTAAGAGAACATCATTAGATAAATTTTCTAATATTGCGGAAAATGCAAATTCTCCTATATTATGGTGGAATAATCACATAAGGAAAACAGCAACTGACAGAATTCACCTTCCTGGTGAAGAGGGTCTCCCAGGTCCATATTCTGCAGAATTACAAAGTAATTCAAGAAGTGAGGAATTACAAAGCAAGTAGGCAACGAAAGATAAACATAAAAACTGCAGCCACATTGTACCAAAGTAAAACTCATGCTATAACAATGTTTACAGACCAATTTTCAATATCTATCTCCATAATGCTGGGATTTAAGTACAAACTAAATGAGAAAAAGTAAAGATAATATTCCTCTAAATTTTGGAATCAAGGGTGCTTAAAAAAAAAAAAAAAGACGTCTGCAGTGCAGAGAAGGGCACCTGTCTCAGATGCAGTGGAAACACACGTGTGTCCAGTGGTATCAGCGAAGCACAAAGCTGAGTTTGTAGAACACACCATCGACCAAAATAAACCCCAGAAGCCAGTTTTACATGAAATCCTCCAGGACTGGTGATTAACCAATCCCAAAAGTATTCAATGTGTCATGACTATTAAATGAATCTTTTCTCATAGAACTAAAAAGTGAGTGTGCACATCTTATGTGTGGAACAACTGGAACTCTCCTACTTTGTTGGCGATGTGTAAACTGGTTTAGAAAAGTGACTGGACTGCTGGACCTAAATTCACATGTAACCTGTACCCCAGCAACTCCATTCTAGAAGTGCTCCAGGCGTAAGTGGTTACATCTACCAAAGGCCATGTACAAGGATGTTCATAGCAAGATATTCACAACAGCCGAGAACCAGAACTAACTCAAATGTCCATCAATAAGAGCATGGATGATATACATTTAATATATTACTACACGGCAATAAAGAGATGAACTACTGCCAAGTGCAACGTGAGTGACTCTCACTGACACAATACTGCACAAGAATTCGGACACACAAGAGTTCACACTGTGTATGATTCCACTTTTATGGAGTTCAAGGTCAGGCAAAACTAATGCATAATAACGAAAACCTTTGTGGGAGCCGAGGCGAAGGAAAGTATTGAGTAGGACACATGATGTATAAATGCATTCAGCTGAACATTTAAAAATCTGTCTATTTCACTCTATGTAAGCTGTAGGGGAACAAAATTTGCCACTTTAAATGGGTCCCTTTGGCACGAGGATTCTTTTAGGGTGGTTATTTTTTTGAAAGCAGAGGATTCAAGAAGTCTGTCTTTTTACCTGCTCTTTAACTGCCTAAAGAACTCAGACAAAGGCCCTGGTCCAGGAAGGGCACTGTCACCGGAGATCTACAAAGCACACGGGTCGGCACTGGGGGGAGCTGCACAGGGCCGGGAGACCAGAGTCCTCTGTGTGTCCCACTGTCCCCGCGGGCCCAGCAAGCATCTGTCACCAAACATCTGCTTTCCCACCTCGTGTGAACTGCCTTCTCCCCGCTGAAGTCCCCCCACCCCCCGCACCCCCTTCTCCTTCTCTCAGGCGCCACATCTGCGGCCTCATATTACGGGGCCCCTGTACATACGTAATTACATCTGGTTTTCTCCTGTTAGTCTGTCTCACGTCAATTTAATTCTTTGGCCAGACAGAAGAACCCAGAAGGAGCAGAGCATAATTTTTTCCTCCCCAACAAAGCTGTGACATAAAAATAAGTGACCAAAGAAAGGAAGGGAGGCAAAGAGGGAGAGAGGTTTTGTCAGTCAGAAGTTCTGCCAATTTACCTTTGGCAAATCACTTTAAACTCTTCAAAATTGTTGTCTCATCAATAAAGGAAAGCAATACCAGCCCAATTTTTTAAAAATAGCCCTAAATTAAAAAACAAAACAAAAACAAAAACCTCTGCTACTCAAATCTGAACTCACATCAGGTAAACACAAAACAACTGTAAGGTACATTATCATCATTATTATTCTTGTCGTTATTACTACTTCATATTCAGGAACTAAAACAAATATAGTGCAAGAATTCTCTTGAAGTTGGCTTATTAAGAGAGACCCTCTAGTCAATACTCATAAAATACCTATATTAAATTAATACCTAAATTAACTTAAGATAATTTCATCTTAGACTTAAGTCTTAACCAAGAAAGTAATTTCACTGTTAATTTACAAATTTATAAATCTCCTTCAAGTACTACTTTCAATCTAATTTTCTTAGGCATATAATTTAATTACATGACTACTGGGATTCTTTATTGTAGGAAAAATTATTGCAGACTTAAGAAATACGACTTACTTTATAAATCACTGCTTTGTATGCAACTTCCAAGAACACATCCAATGTACAATATTAGGTTACCTTATTATTGTTATTGATGCTATAGTTTGAAAATGATATGTAAAAGAAGTCTGGTACTGAAATACTTTACCATTTAATTTTCCTTTGCATTGCCGGAATATACGCAATCCTTCCAAACATCTGATCAGAAAAGCAAAACTGACAGGTTCTTATCTGTTCTCCTTTTCTTAACATTTACTCTTCGCATATATTTTAATGATCCACAACGTTTAAAACGTACTAATCTTGTGATAAGAGGATACAATGAAGATCACCCAAACATTGCTGCAGGTGAAGAGCAAACGCTCTGGAAACCGGCACCAAGACACGTAATTGACTGTGAACGTCTCTGGGTCCTCACAGACTTTACAAATCACAGGCTAGAGGGGACCAGAGTTAAACAAGGGGCCTGCACTCTGCGAATTCCTGACGGAGCCCCTCATGTCTGCTACTCGGGGAGCACTTCTGATACACTTATGGACAAACAGTGAAGAACCAAATCGTTAAAGTCCTCCAACTCTTCTGAAAGACTGAAAAGTCTTAAATTAAAAACAGAGCCTTAAAAGAGTCAAAGCAGTTAACACTACCTTCACATTAACAAGGATATTAGAACTGTCAGAGAAAACAATTTAAGGAATGTGGCCAAAAGCCAAAAAAGCTAAGCTTTTTTTTTTTCCCCTTTCATTCTAAAATGCTGTTATTACATGCTAAAACATGGATGAATCCTGAAAACATACACCAAGTGAGAGAAGCCGGTAACGGACGACCACATATTACGTGACTTGTGTACAGAGAGTGGCCAGAAGAGGTGAATGCAGAGACGGAAAGTAAGTGAGGGGTTGCCAGAGTTTAGGCGAGGGGTTAGGAACGGGGGTGACAGTTTCGGTGGACACGGTTTCTTTCTGGGGTGTGGAAAGCGCTACAAAATCAGATGGTGGCAATGGTTGCCCAACTCTGTAAATATACTAAAACCAATAGCAAATGGAAAGCTTTTATGGTATGAGAAACAGATTTCAATAAAGGTGTAAACAAACAAACCAAAAAGCCTACAAAAAACTGCAAGTTAACTTGCTTGCTCACACGTGCCAGGTTTCCAGGTGGTCAAGAGCCACGTGGGGCTACCAGGGTGGACACCGCAGATATAAAGAACGCTGCCATCACCCCGGAGAGTTCTACTGGACAGAACTGCTCCAGAACATTAAAAGGCAAGATAAAATGAGCAATATGGAGAACCTGGCATCTCACTCACGTTACTTACTACCAACGAAACCATGTCCATCCGGCAATAAGCGGGGCCGGGCCAGGTCTACAGCAGGGAACAGGACGCGGAGCAGAGAGTTACCACGGTCCCCTGCACACAGGTATGCAAGAGGCTGGAGGGAGGGAAAAGAATGCCCAGATTCTCCTGACTCCTCCAAAGGCTGGGAGAGATCACGGTGTTCCTCTTTTTGTCAGGGCAGCGGCCCAGCAATCAACATCTAAGCCTGGGCGACGTCCTCGTAAAAGTAGAAGATTGATAATTCCCGTGCAAGAGCCAACAAAGAGCTGAACGGACGGCTGAAGGTAAGTTAGGGTAAGTACATGTCAGTGATGGAGTTTATTATTTTTACATTTAGGTAAAAACAACACAAATCACTTTTAGAAAATTTCATTTATATAATGTCATTTAAATAAAAATGTCTGTAATGATCCACTCATAACTTATGATGATGCTTCTGTGCCATTTTAAAAGTCAAGACTGTTGCATCCTGCTGATTTCTCATTTTGCTGTGTAAAGCTTTGTTCTGTTTGTTTTATACTGACATCAAGTGGCAACAGCGCAGAATGCAGTTTACCAAACCTTTTCTATGCTGTCTGAAAACCTAAAGGGATTTTAAGATATAATGTCGATATTCTTTACAAGTCTGAGTAGGTGAGGCAACTTGGAGAATGCCTAAAGCTCCAAGTCCAGTCCAGGTGCCTCAGAATCCTCTCGGTAAGGAATTCGTCTCCTTGGGGGTTCTGCCACCATGAGCGGATGACCTTGGGCAAGCCGGTGTGCCTTTCCAGCCTCACTGCTCATCCCTAAAACGTGGCTTATGGTAAGACCAATGTCAAAGACGGGGTGTGAATATTCAAGGAGATGTAAATGCAAAACGACTAAAACACTGCCAGGCACACAGGAAGAGCTCCATACATACCAGCTACCAATTCTGATCCCCCTACTGAAACAAAGGAAGTGCTAACACCTCTCTGTCAACTTCTTTAAGTCTGCCTTCCAAGTTGTCAGCCTTCTGAAAAAGTAGGAACCTCCAGCAAGAGACAGGGAGTATGTTCAGGTGTGAAGCACTAAAGGGAAGAGAGGGGCACATCAAAAGCCAGCTTTTCTTCACTCAGAATCACCCCTGATGCTAATACCGTTTGGGATGTACGTGTCTGAGTCGACCAGGTAAACCACTTTGACTAACCACTGCCAATTCAATAGATCAGCGCTGTTTTTCCCACACGCTGGACAGAAAAGAGCAAAAGAAGAATGTCACGTCACCAGAGCTCGCACCTCACTGCGTGAGCTCTACTAACTTCCAAACACTTTAATAACCACTTAAGTTTATTCCGAAAACACCTTTTAAAATTTTTACAAATAAGTCTTAATTAGACAATTTTTCAAACCAAACAATTTTTCAAAATTTCAAACCGGTGGAAAGAAACTCAAGTCATATAAAATAAGGACTCCCAATTTAAACACCTGCTTATGGCTGAATATCTCGACTTCGAACCTACCGCCTCCTTCCCCCACCCTGGACCCAAGACAGCTCACTCAGTTCTATACCCTGTTCTGATTTCAGAAGACGCGTGGCCATCTTCCGGCTTGACACACTGTTTGTCAAGTCCCTCGACCCGTGCCCCAAGAGAAGCCCCACTCCCGGCTTTGAGATGGACTGTGTCGCCCTCTCTAGTCTACAAGCACACACACAGGGGTGTGGCCTGCGGGTTATGCACACGGACCCTGCGTGGCCCCCACACAGCTTCGCTGAGGTCTAGCACAGGCCGGTGGGAGACACCATCCTCGGAAGGTGCTTTCCGGTTTCCCAGAGATATTTCCAGCAAAGGAAGCTGAATACGCCTCACCTACCTTTTTAACTCTTCCCCCACCTCGCTCTCAGCTGGCGCTAACCACGCCAACCCATACTTGTCCAAATCTATTGGCAATTCTTGAACTAGTCTGAAGACAGCAAAGTTAAACCACTCCCAACCGGGGGGGATAACCCTAACCAGGAAAGGAACTGGGGGAACATGATTAGTTTTAACCTTTAACCTTTTGGCTCTACATAAATGTGGGGCAGGATTGGCCTGAAAAAGGGGGAGGGAGAGTCTGGCCACCACGTAGGCCCCCATTAAACCCTGAGCAACTCAGGCAAGTAGTGGGTTTTCGTACCAGTGGGGAACGGAACTGTTTTCAGCTGCCTGGCGCAGGGTCCGTGGATCTGTCAGACGTTAACGTCTGTGAGACAGCTAAAGTGTTAAGAGAGGAGCTCTGGTTACTCACTCGACTTGTGCACCTGAGTCCAGACTTGCTCTGATTCTCAGGCCTGAGATAAAGCCGCCTGAAGAGAAGAGCAACACGAAGAGGAAGCCCCACATCCACCAACAGCAGAAAGCAACCACACAGCCCAGAAAGGCCTACACACAGCTTTCACAACACCATTAACCCAACTGGAGGTGACACCAAATCCACGGATTTACATCTGGGGGACTAGGGAACATCTTCAAAACGTTAAATGTCTGTGACTCAAAATAACTTAAATTCAGGGTGTTAGGAGGCCAGTGAATGAACAAGGAATGTACTTACATCGCTTGAAGAGACTGTTCCTGTTTCAACAGCGACACCGCTACCACGCAGTTTCTATTACGAAATAAATAACTTATTACTTAGTTTTGTTTTTAATTTTATCCTACTTCATCAGCTTACGAAAGAGAGCTAAGCAAATTTTATCACTGTTTCCCTAATCCTACTGAATGGAGTATGAACTAATAAAAAACGTGGGGATGATAACGAAATATTCTAAACGTCGTTACACTCTTCCGGATAATCTCTTAATCAATAAATTATTTTAAAAGGAACAATAATAAACTGAATACTAAGTTCCAATTACATTTCATAAGTGAAGCGAGTGCAAATTTCCAAGTCTCAGGATTTACTTCCTGAGTCATTTTTCCAATGAGACAACTGTCTTAAGCTGAACTATCTACACTATATTCTGTGGCAAAGCTTTCAAAACAGGTGCCTGATGATGGGAAGATACTACATGGAACTTAAAAAATTAGGTTATCCACGGCAATGCTAACACATTATAATGACAATCAGAACCTCACCTGTTACACAGAAATGACCAAAGAAAATTTAAGGTAGAAAGTCAGAAGCTGAATATGCAAGAGAAAAGTGATAATGAATTTCTGAAAGGAAATTTTTATTTTGTTTTATTCAATAACTTATCTACTAAGTGCCAGGCATGAGCCCCTATAACCCAAGTATAACGGTTAAACTATTGGGAAAAAGGCTCCTAAATGTCTCTATTAAGTCAAAGAACAAAATATCCAAATTGGCACCTAATTCAGACTTTTGAAAGTCTACTTCTATCAGAATCATGAAAATGTGGTCCTTTTTATGAGGGAGAAAACGCTTACGATAGAGAAAAAGAGACCTTGCAGATACAGTGCTATCACGTGGCATTTAAGCAAAGTAGAAAATAAAAGCCCGAACAAGCCTCTGCTTCATGCCTGTCACTACACCCTGATCAAAGGCTGTGGACAAGCGTCTGCCCACAGCAAGGGTGGTAGCCAGCCAGAGCCCAGCGGAAGCAGTGACCAGACTCTGAGGCACGGCTGGACGGGCCTGAAGCCTCTCCCTGGGGCAGGACGTGCAAAGCAGCAACGCCAGACAGTAACTGAACAAGGCCAAAGACTCGGCGATAAAAAGAGCAAGCGTGCTGGAAGATACAGAAAGGTCTTTAAGAGCGTCTGTCTCACACCAAGTCTAATGAAAAGTGTTCCAGACACTGAAATCTCTGCTTCCACTAGTGACCGGTGAAATATCCCCCCAACTGCTTGACAGGGTTACAACCACAGCTAATCATTCTAAAACTAAACAATTATCTGTGAGGCAGAGCATAAATGTTACTCCTACGGGGAAAAGTCTAAGATGAAACAACCCAAAATGTTAGCGGCACACTGCAGCGTGCATTCTTTGCTACCAGATCTCATTTTATGAGTCCAGCTAGCATAGAGCCTTATTACCACCAGACCATGCCTAACACTAAAGCAGAATGAAGTTTCTTCAAAGGGAGAACTAATCTCATAAGAGGAAAAAAGAAAGGGGGGGGGGCGGGTTACCTCTTTAACTAAGCGCTCTGATCCCAAATGATACACATGTAGAAATAAATACATCTCATCTTCACATAGTATTTTTCATGTTCTAAGTATCTTCTTTTTGAAATATCTCACAAACTCAGTAAAATCTGCAAAACTTGTGACTCTTGTAAAAGTACTTTTAAAAACTAAGCCCAAAAGAGTGTTAAAGTGTATGCTGATGACAGAAAAAAATAACTGATTTTGTTCAAGACACTTCAAAATCTCCCTATCCAAACAGAAAAGGTTAGTAGGCTCCCCCCGCAAAAAGGCAGGCAACGATAAGACAAAAAATAAATCGAAGCAAAATGTCATGGTGTCTCTCTCGTACTTCAAATTAAAATCTACTAAAATCATAAAGTCACCAGCAACCTAAATTACAACTTTCCAAACCTTCATTTCAAATAGGCCCTTACTTGTCATCTAGCCCTGAGGCCACCAGGCCTCCCAGCACGGCTTCTCCTGGCCCATCCTCCATGTCCCGCCCACACCAAAGCTCGCCCCCTCCTGCCTTTCCTTCCGGATACAGATACGCCGCCCTCCCCACCCAGGTCAGCTCGCTCCCTCCAAGCACCCTCACCACCTCTCACTTGGTCACCAGACACCTAAAGGAAAAGCAACCCTCCACTGAGCTGTCAGGAGTGTCCGGCCATCCGCCCTGCGCTGGGGAACCGAGAAGACAAAAGGGAAAACTCGTCATCTGCCAGCCGTCACCCCGAAAGCTGTCCTCCTCCACGAAGAAACGGGCTCGAGGGCCCTGACATCAGCGAGACCACAGCAAGCAGGCTTCGTGTTTCCCTTTGGGCTTAAATGCAACCCCACGAGGACACGGTGAAATCCTAAGTGGGAGTCACTGAGGGAGACATCCTCTTGGGCTGGTGAGAGCAGCCCCAGGCCACCCAGTGGTGCCTGGGACGGCCTCCTGGCCAGGACTAGAGGCGGGCTGCCTAATGAGCTGTCCCGTGCTGTCTGCAGTCTGAAGCCCTCCTGGCAGCAGCCAGGGCCAGTTTATTTATTGGTGTGACTGGTCAGACAGTTTGGCCTGGGTACGTGACCAGAGGGCATAAAGGACCCACTGCACACTTTCAAAGGACTCTCCCCAAACCAAGACTCCTGGCACCGATCTGGGTGGTCCAGGGTCCCAGGGCAGAGATGCTCGCCCATCGCACTGTCTCTCCTCCTCTCTCGTGAGCCTCACACGAGTGTACCCTTGGAGTTGTGTGCGTCCTTCCAATCCTCCAACCCGTGTGATCTCGGCAGCCACCTTCCTGGAAGGGAAATCCTCCCTACCTGCTGAAATGCATGAAGGGAAAATCCCAAGTGGCAGAAGAGACAGGAAGCTCTGAGCTGAAGACAGTTACAGGCAGAAAAGGTGAAGCCCCTACCAGACCTGCGAGCAGCATGGCTGACTCATCAAACTCAGAATGCCTCTTTTTTAACATAAAGAGTTTTTGTAATTTCACATAATTACCATAAATAGCTTTAGAGAACATGGACGTTATGTTCTTTTCAAAGATACTAAGAGGAATGTCTTTTACCTGTGAACTCAGTTGAGTCTTTATCCAATTGAAATAGTAATTTAAGTCACTGCCTTCCATCAATTCTTTTCCCCAAGCTGCTAACTTGGCAATAATTCTTGCTGCCTGAAAAATAAGGAATACATTTGAATATTATCCTGATTCTAAAAATCACACCATAGACCCTAAGAAACAGGACTCATAACCATTTTGCTGCAGGATTTCTTTTCGCACTCAACTCCTCCAAAGATAATAGATATTTCATTTTTAAAAATATTTCTAATATGGTCAAATGTAGTTTTAAATAGTTCTGTTAATGTGAACCAAAACCAGTTGTGTTTTAAGAATTTCACGATATTCCCTGCATTATTCTGAGTTTCAAAAGTAAGATTAGGATTCATTGTAAGACCAGCAAAAATCAAAGAACACAAAAATCCTTCTTTGTGACTTTCACCGAATCAGTTGCCAGAGTTCTGAGCAATGGCGCCAACAAACGGCCAGCCGCTGCCTCGGCCACTCAGGCCCTTGCGAGCTCTCGGTTTCAAACCTGTGTCTCGGTATAAAATATATCCTGGGTATCACTCAAGCCCCTGCGAGCTCTCGGTTCCAAACCTGTGTCTCGGTACAAAATATATCCTGGGTATTGGTATATCCTGGGTATTGGTATAAAATATATCCTGGGTATTGACAGTCATCTCTCTCAGTAGAAGCAAACACCCTTTTCTCCTCACTCAAAAACTTCTCAATTTTCTTCAAGCTATAAAATGAATCACGAAGGGAGGGTGGGAGGGAGATGCAAGAGGGAGGAGGTATGGGGATATATGTATACGTATAGCTGATTCACTCTGTTATACAGCAGAAACTAACACCATTGTAAAGCAATTATACTCCAATAAAGATGTTAAAAAAATGCATCACGAATTTTTTTATTAAATAGGCAGTATAAGTGTATTTTATCAAATCATCATGTTGTACACTTTAAATATCTTATAATTTTGTCAATTACACCCCAATAAATCTGGAAATATATAGATATAGATATGCCAAGGGGAGGGGGGAAAAGCAGTATAAAATACTACTTCTCCACCCGCAAACCCAATTTAATAAATATTCTTTGAGTTCTTTCTATAAGCGAGTTAGTGTTTCAAAGCTCTCATCATTCAGCAAGAGTTAATCCTAGTAGAGACCGTGAAGGCTGATTAGCTAAGCCAAAAATACACTGAGGTCTGCTCCCAGACTTGCACACAGCGAGCGAGGTGACAGAGGGCAGCGTGTGTCGTGGCATATTCGGGAGCCTGCACCACGGGGGAGGGGGGGCAGAGCCCAGCACCCCGACGCCCTCGCTTTGCAGTGACATGAGGTCGTCTTCACGTGCCTCGCTAAGTGAGTTCACAGACACGCTATCTAACTTAAACTGACCTGTCACAAAACAGATAAGTGACACGAAAGGATCCCTGTAAGGAAATTGGAAATTTAATAGATGATCAGCAGTGTGCGCACAAGCTAAGGGGCAAAGACAGAGGAACACGAGGCCTGGCGTTTCCTCTCCGAGCACAAGCTCTTCATCAGCACGGGGTAAACCAATGAGCACCTGACCCTCAAAATGTGAAAGATTAGCCAAAAGTAACCGGAATGATAAAGAAATGGAGACACAGACTTGGCTACACCAGGAATAACAACGAATCTTACCCTAAATGTGTATTTGGCCTTTAACACATTTGTCAATTTTATTATAAGACCATCAAAATTAGGAAAATGTTTAAATCATGTTTCCAGACAGTGAAAACAAGCCTCTACACAATTTGAAAGAAGAAAATATATTACTGTTTTTTTTTAAAGTACTCTTTAAAATAGTTTATTTCATGGGTCATCCTTTTTCTTTTTACGAATGTTTCATACAATATATGAACATACTAGTACATAAATGAATATAGATATATATGGAGAGAAAGAGAAAGCGTGTGCTCAAAACTGTTTCACTGACAGTGGATCTTGCTGCGAAAATGCAGACATCTATGAAATGCAGCCTCAGGAGCGCCCCCTGCAGCCCACAATACGCTAGGAACAGAAAAGGCCTGTACAAGGACTGATTCTCTGATCGTCGTCTCAGACCTTCTGCTCAGTGTCAACACTTCAAAAGACAGCCTTTCAGGCTAAGTTTAAAACAGGAGTGTATCTATGATATTAAAAAGCAATTAATTAACTACTTAATTAAAAATTAAACACAACAGCTGCTTCAAAGCAAAATTTAATTTCTATAGTAAAATGCAGTTCTGTCACAGACCACCTAAAGCTGTTTGCACATGTGAATTTACCACAGACTTTATTTTTAAATTTTTATTTATTTGTTTGTTTGTTGTTTGTTTGTTTATGGCTGCGTTGGGTCTTCATTGCTGTGTGCGGGCTTTCTCTAGTTGCAGTGAGCAGGGGCTATACTCTTCGTTGAGGTGCGCGAGCTTCTCATTGCAGTGGCTTCTCTTGTTGCGGAGCACGGGCTCTAGGCACGCGGGCTTCAGTAGTTGTGGCTTGCGGGCTCTAGAGCATAGGCTCAGTACTTGTGGCGCATGGGCTTAGCTGCTCCGCAGCATGTGGGATCTTCCTGGACTAGGGCTCGAACCCATGTCCCCTGCACTGGCAGGAGGTTCGTAACCACTGCGCCACCAGGGAAGCCCTACCAAAGGCTTTTATCTCAATAAGCTCATCAAATGCTCTATAAACTTGAACTGTGTCAAAGCAACCCTGCCTCCTCTGACCTTCCAACACCCCACATTACTAACATCCAGTAAGGAAGCGCTGCTTTGAAAAGTCAACGTCAGAGCAGTCACTCCTCTGGGTACTGGGACGTTACCAAGTCACAACCGGCCCGGGTGCATTTCTTCCCTGAATCAGAAATGTGACCAATTCAAAACTTACCATATGAACAGTAAAGAGATCCTGGCGATTCAACATGGGCAGAAAGTAGGACCAGGCAGTGTTCTTGCTACGTTTAGCATAGTCAAAGAAAATGCTAACGCGCTGGTGATTTTCCTAAAATAGAGAAAGAAAAAAAAAACCGGAAAGAAATAAACATCACTGATCAGAATGCATTTTCCTAAAGAATGTAACGATTATACACTGCTTCTCAGCCTTTCATTTTATGTCCCCTCAATCCATGTTTTCTCTTTCCAGTCGGTATGAGATTTGTCTCCCTGTTATTATTACAATGGGGCAGGGGGTGACGATGGGGGCAGGGGGAGATAGTTTTCAGTAAAATCACCTTTAATTATTATGATTAGTTTAAATCAGGTGAGCCACGATAACAGACCCCCCCGCAGGTGTAGCACCCGAGTTACATCTCTCCTCAGCCTGCCCCTCAGTGCTGTCTGGACACCTCCACCCTCCTTCCACACAAACAAAATCGGGAAGGGCAGGGAGATCCCAATTCAGCTCTCAGTGGGAGGACCAGCAGGAAGCACTTCAAGCTACTCACAGACAGGCCAGGGAAACAGGGCATCAGAGAAACCTCGGACGTCTGGGTTACCCTTACACACTGTGACAGGAAAATCGGGGCACATAACGACAGCAAAAAACAGCATAGCATACCAGCAGGTAGATCAGAGGAACAATTACTTCTTAGTTGAAACCATGCAAACTCTACCTGTCACCGAAATTTTCTCTGCCTATCGCTGGCCGAAATCCACCATCTGGTTCACTAAGTGAACACGGTGGTTAAGTAGCAATATTTGGTAAACAGCACAAATAACCACATAAACAATAATTTTAGCTCTCAGATCAACATTTAAATCTTTTTAAATACAGTGGTTTTAACTTTGGTCTGTGCTAGCAGTTACCTATTTGAGAAGTAGACTACTATCTCTTTAAGTAACAAATCGTTATAGTCTAGACTGACAACTGAAATAGTTATGATAACGAGTTCATCAAAGAACTCGAAGTTCAGGTAGGTCTTCATTAGCTCCACTGGTGGACTATTTTCAAAGCTAAAATTGTAATTCTCATTGTACATGTAAATTAACAAAGTCCCCTACACACAGAAAGAGCAGAAACTGTCACACGTTTAACTAAGGTTAAAACCCATCTTCCTCAACAAGTCCTTCATGGATTTGATTCCCGCTTAAAAACGCACCTCCAGCCACTGCCGCTCCAAGCACCCAAATCCACATCTTTAACAGAATAAGGATAAAGCCCTCTCAGAGGCACTGAGCAACTGATACTAATATGCGAGCACAGAAAACATTTTAATCTTCAAAATTATGTGCTAAAAACTAAACACGTGAGGAAAAACAAGCAATTCTTCCCCCAAAGTATTCCATTCAGATGTGTTAAGAATAAAAAGACTGGATTGGAAATGTGTAACAATATTCTTTAAGTGGCACACAGACTCACGTGGTAAAAGTGTGCGCAAATTTCTCAACGTAACCAAAATTTTACCAATAAAATCAATCGTCAGGATACGTTTGATCAGTAGCTAAGGATAATGGCAGCTACCTACGTCTAAATCTCTCCACAGATCTTTCATTAACACAGGTCAACAAGAACAAATGAAACTATACACTTGAAGATGTCCTACTTCGGACACCGCCTTGATTGGCAAAAATGTAAAAACCTGACAGTGCCTTCTGTTGGCAAAGCTGTAGGGAAACAGGCATTCTCACACGTTGGTGGGAATACAAAATGGAATATTTGGCAATATCTTAACAAAACTGCATACGTGGTTCTCTTTTATCCAGAAATCCCACTTCTAAGGATTTACCATGAGGTACACTCCCAACAATAGGAAAATACATTTGCATAAGGTTATCATCTTCATTATTTCTAATTACAAAATACCGTAACTGCTTTTTGCCCGACATCTTAGCGAGGCCTCAGTGGTAGCAGCTACCCTCCAAGCTTGAGATGCCCCCAAAGAGAAAGATGCCAGAAAGTCGGCCACTAAGGACAAAGACCCGGAGAACGATCTAAGGGCAAAGCCAAAAAGAAGAAGTGGTCCAAAGGCAGAATTCGGGACAGGCTCAGGAACCTGGTCTTCGTAACAAGGCCACACGCGGCCAACTCAGTAGGAAGTTCGCAACCCCAGCTGTCGCCTCTGAGAGACGGGAAGATTCATGCTTCCCTGGCCAGGCCAGCCCGTCAGGAGCTCCACAGGAAAAGACCTAGTGATGGCTTTTAAAACAGCTCAAGTAACTTACACGAGAAACACCAGAGGTGGAGATGCCCCAGCTGCTGGGAAGATGCATGAGTGGTCCCACCAACTGCCCATTTTGAAAAATAAAACTTTATTAAACCCAATATATGTGTACCTGAAGCAACCTCAATGGCTATTACATCAGAGGCCGATTAAGTAAAATATGGTATATCTACTAATGTCCCCTCTAGCTGTCAAAATAAATATGGGAGATTGAACTGAAATGGAATGATTTCTGGCATACTGTTAAGTGAAACAAACAAAATACAACAGACTACGTCTAGTATGCATTTCTGTGTAAGAAAGAGAGGGAAATAAGAAAATACATGTGTACCTGTATGCAATAAGAAAAACAGGAAGGACAAACAGAAGTCTACGACATTATGACCTACAAGAGGTGGGTGGGACTGTGGGCAAGGGGGACTGGGGACACACCTTTCTGTATAGTTTTGACTTCTGGAAGCATGTAAACGTTTTACATAATAAAAAATAGTAAAAACCAACAGGGATGAGGAAAAAAACTGAAGTAGATTACAAACCAAAATAAATGAAGCTATTTCTGGAAAAATAATATAACCACACTAAAACAAACCTGAACACAATACTCTACACAACCTCGTTTAAAGACAAAGTACTGCAGACAAATACTGAACTCCAGGCAAAGGGCTTTTTTTCGGGTATGCGGGTCAGCAAATCTGAGCCGACTTCCTCTGTATCACGGGTGGAACAAGTGAGTAACAGAGGACGAGATGACTGTGCCCACTCGCCGGCAAAGAAGACAATCCAGCATGGAACGGGGGGCTGGCATGAACTCGGGGGCGGGGCAGTGGAGGGCACAAACTGGAGATGCTCTGTGTGAACTCACGGTTTTTTTTTTTTACAGGTTTGTAAATTTACGGGTTTGTAAATGTGTATAAAAATCGAGGGAATTTGTGCATGTGTGAGTGTGGGTGGGTGGGTGTGTACATATCAGTAACACCAGGGTCTGCAGGCCAGCTCACGGCCTCCTCATTCTAGTCCAATCATAGTAACAAGGGTTACCAAGGCAGACCACAACACTCCCCATTTATCCTGACCTTACTTTCCTAAAGGAAAAAGTGCCAAGAAAGATGGAGATCATTCTCAGACGGGCTTGCATCAGTCCAGGCTGGACAGCCATCCTGAGATGATTAAATCACAACATCCCTGTAAGTGATACGATGGCCCCTAGATGGGCAGCACCCTTCCTCCTAACCTCCGGGTCCTCGGGAACAGTTCGCCCAGTGGCTGCACACAGTAGGCCAGCGATAAATGCTCTTCCTTGTAAAATGACAGACGGACGCCCTCCAAGCAGCCAGACTGACTCTTTTCTTCAAGAGACAGGGAGACTCTTGAGTCTTCAAGACTCTTTTCCCTGAGACGTGCAGACAGGCCTTGGATTTTGCAGCCAGTTGGCCTGTTTCAGAAAGACTGCTCTCAATACCAACAATCTAAACCTAGATTACACTCGAGTATAAAATACAATATTGTGGGGGCTTCCCTGGTGGTGCAGCGGTTGGGAGTCCGTCTGCCGATGCAAGGGACGCAGGTTCGTGCCCCAGTAAGGGAAGATCCCACATGCCACGGAGCGGCTAGGCCCATGAGCCATGGCCGCTGAGCCTGCGCGTCTGGAGCCTGTGCTCCGCAACGGGAGAGGCCACAGCAGTGAGACGCCCGCGTACCACAAAAAAAACAAAAAAACAAAAAAAACAATATTGTGAATAAGGGAGGCCCTCTGTGTTTACGGACAACAAAGCAGTAAACAGAAACTTCACATCACTGGAGAAGTCTCAGATGATAGCCAAAATGCTCTCCAAAAACACCATGCTTTTGAGGGCAAGCATCTTGACTACAGTCAGCACTAAACCCCCAGGGCCTGGCCCTGGCCCGGGACACAGGGCGCTGAAATCTGCTGAATGACTGAAAGAAAAGAGCCACATCATCTGTGAGTAGGCAGAGCATCCGGAAAGCCTCAAGGGATGCACCGAGCACTGCTGTTGTCCAACACAGAACTCTGAGGGAATACAGAAGAAAGAAAGACGGATTCCCCGACATCCTAAAAACAACACAATAGCCAGTGTGTGGGCAGTCCCATCTTTACCACCATTAGCAAATTACAACTCACACAATGAAGAAAAATATACTATCACACTCTGGAAGGGAACCAGTGCTCTAGGTGAAAGCTTATAGAAGTGCTGTTACTGGGAGAGCACAAAAAGGTGAGGACCAAACGTGTCAGGTGAAGAACACACCCACCCACCTGCAGCGTGTCATCAACCATGGTGAGTATGTACTGAACTGTCTGCTCTTTGGAGATGTGAGTCATCAGATTTATAAATGTCTTAGCACACTAGAAAAAAATGAAATGAACGTTAACCACTGTTTTCAAATGTGCAAACACAACATTTTAATGGAATTTCATTAAAATATTATTTCTCTTGCCTAAGTTAGGATGCAGTTATAGAAAATGCCTGCCTTTTACAAATACTGTGATGAAGTATGGGAGGACCAGACTAGGGCTTGCATCAGTTTTTTAATAATTTCTAGTGACGTCCAAATTTTTGGGCTTCCCTGGTGGCACAGTGGTTGAGAGTCCGCCTGCCGATGCAGGGGACACGAGTTCGTGCCCAGTCCGGGAAGATCCCACATGCCGCGGAGCAGCTGGGCCCGTGAGCCATGGCCGCTGAGCCTGCGCGTCCGGAGCCTGTGCTCCGCAACGGGAGAGGCCACAGCAGTGAGAGGCCCGCGTACCGCAAAAAAAAAAAAAAGTTTACTATTTTTAAATAGACCTCACCACTATCAACTCTTGATACCGTAAAGACTAAGTTACGTAGACAAATCTAATATTATCATTCGTTTTGGGGTTTGTTTGTGTTTTTGGTTTTGGGGGTTATTTTGCTTTTACTAGGAAACAGAGTACCAGAGCAGCACAAGTACAGGAATTCAGTACAGGCGCTGGAATCAGAAGGCTCTGACCAGTCTCCATCCTATGATTTAACACCTATGTCACAGACTCTCTAGAATTCAACAAAACTGGCACCCACGATAATGTTTCCTCCCAAATTTCCCAGGATTGTTGTGAGAATCAGGCTGAATCGTATACGGGCTCCTTCGGCCAATCACGGCACCGTATCAGAAAATCTGATGGACAGCGGAGTTAGATGTTATTCTAGTGAGAATACAAAGTAGAAAAAAAACTGCTTAAAAAACAGAAAAGTTAAGCAACTTTGAAAATACTGTATACTCTGAAACAGTAATTTCCATGCTAGGAATCTATTCTAATTCGAAAAAATTTTTCAGAAATGCAGAAAAGGATGGAGGAATAAACATACTCAATAGGACATTTTTTCCAAAATTAACAAAGAAAACTAGAGATCCCTCAAATGTCTTCCAATAAAAAAGAGTCTTGGGCTTCCCTGGTGGCGCAGTGGTTGAGCGTCCGCCTGCCGATGCAGGGGACACGGGTTCGTGCCCCGGTCCGGGAAGATCCCGCATGCCGCGGAGCGGCTGGGCCCGTGAGCCATGGCCGCTGAGCCTGCGCGTCCGGAGCCTGTGCTCCGCAACGGGAGAGGCCACAACAGTGAGAGGCCCGCGTACCGCAAAAAAAAAAATAAAAGAGTCTTTAGTTAAATTATGATGCCTACCTACAGTGGACTATCACATGGTCATCGAGAAAACTTCTAGAATGTCTAATGACACGGGGCAGTGTTCATGGTCTAATATCTGAACGGATCACCTGACTGCCTTCAGTCTGAAGCACCTCCTGCTTCTCCTCAGGACTTCTTTTCTTCTCAAATCTTTTAATGAATTCGCAGTCTTCGGAAGAAATCATCTGCCCCCTAGAAAGAAAGAACAAGGTTTTCGTTCCGCAAGAGTTGAAGAGCCACTGGGACCAAGTGATACAGGATGCCCTGCGTCTCTCCTCTCTCTGCGAGGGCTGACACCAGACCCTGGTGTCCCACAGCCCTGCCGTCTGAGTCCAGCCGCACCACCTACTACTCATGGGCCTCCCAGGCCCTGACCGGAGCTAATTTACCTGCAAAATGGGAACAAGAACCACATGCCTTTAAGGGGCGGAATTGAGGATGAAATAATTCACATGAGGTGGTTAGCACAGGGCCTGGTCCACAGGAAACACTCACTAAAATGCCACCTCTGGGCCTTATCCAAGTCTCAGCCTATCTCCGTCCCAAGCCAATTTACTTGGCCATCTAAGTTATCAAGGCAAAACCCCTGTATACAACTTTCTGCAATCACGTCCTCCAGCATATTCTTTCCTTTCAGACCCAGAAAAATGTGACCAAACCCTCTCTGAAAACACCCCCATCCTCCCAGCAATCAGCCCGCACTCCATCTTCTTCCCCACTCCGCAGTGCTAACTTGTGATCTGAACTCCAGGCCGACCTCTCCCAGCCCCACTCACAGATCACACATATGCCACAGGCACTCCACATCTTACAGGGGCAGAACTGAGGTCACGAATATATACCCCACACACACTCTATCCCCCAGCCAGGCTGATGGGACGATGGAAGCAAAAACAGACACTGTGCCCTGCTTCCATTAAGACTAAGCACTTCACCTATCACAGTTGGTCAGGAGAAAACGCACTCTGCACCCCAGACTAGACCAAGATAATGACGTCCACCTGCCTGGTTCCAGTCCCAAAATAAATGAAGTCTTTTTTCATAAACCTGAACTCCCTAGCTCCCAAACAATTTGACCCCCAAATTTGGCTATGCTGACATGTAAAAGCATGCCATACCTTTTTAAATAGGATAATCACAGGAAAGAGATGCAGTTTTTCTACCACTGAGAAAGTGTACTATGAAGGTTATACTCGGTAATCTGGAAATTCTGCAGCTTTCTTTTGTATTTTTACTTGGCAAGCCATTCCTTCTGAAGTCTAACTTCCTTGCATTTGTCCCAAGGAACCTTTTTTTGCTTTCTGTTTTTAAATTATTTCACCTGTAATCTTCCTCTGACAGTCCCACAATCTAAGAGGCCATGGACTCCGGCCCCTTCTGTGATGAGCCAAGTCTGGTCGGGCCCCGTCCTCACAATTCTTCCCCCTGACATCACTCTCCTCCCCACTTCCCCGCCGCTGGGGTGGCTCAGCCCGATGGCCCCGGTCCAGCGGGTTTCCTGCTTCCAATCCAACCCTCCTCCACAGCCCCCTGACCTACACTGCCAGGCAGCTTTGTCAAACACCCCCCCCCGACTGTTTTACTCCTTTCATTTGGTCAGACTGTGAATTTGAAAGGCGGTTCTACCTAGCACCTAGGCAGAGGCTTTCAACAAAAACTTCTTCAGTGACTCATTAAAACCTATATGAGCACGTCCATGTTACTTAACCTACGTAAGCAGCTGTCTACTTATCTTTAAAATGAGGATAGGGCTTCCCTGGTGGCACAGTGGTTGAGAGTCCGCCTGCCCATGCCGGGGACACGGGTTCGAGCCCCGGTCTGCGAAGATCCCACATGCCGCGGAGCGGCTGGACCCGTGAGCCATGGCCGCTGAGCCTGCGCGTACGGAGCCTGTGCTCCGCAACAGGAGAGGCCACAGCAGTGAGAGGCCCGTGTACCGCAAAAAAATAAATAAATAAATAAAATGAGGATAGAAAACTTATTTCACAGAATTGCTATGAAATTACCATGAAACAATATGTGACTTACCAAGTACGTTACTTCTTTTCCCAAAAGCTCGTCTCCACGGCACCCCTCCAAGTCCTCTGCTCACTCATGATCTAATCAGCCAGTACTAGCTGCCAGCCAGCTATGTGCCAGACACCGTAACGAACAGGCCACACAGCAATGAACTAGACATCCCTCCCTCCGTGAGCTCACATTCCAGAGCAGAAAATACACAAGCACAAAAGCACATACTTTTTAAAAAAATATACACACACATATCATAATGCCAGGATTCTAAAAGTTTATTAAACAAAAAACTAAAGCTAGGTAGGGAGGAAAGGACATATTTTAGCTGGATTAGAGAAGACCTTCCTGAGGTCACCTGCACAGACACCTGAATGAAGGGAGTTAATGAACCAAGTGATCCAGGAGGAACTTCCACAGACAGAAGTGCGAGTCCAAGGACGCGGGGGCAGCAGGGAGCTGGCTGTGTGGGAAAGAGCAGGAACGCAGAGCAGCTGCAGGGCTGGGGGCACCGGGGCACGATCTGACCTGCACTGTTTCTTAGTTGAAGCAGAGTTGATTTACAATGTCATGTTAGTTTCACGTGTACAGCAAAGTGACTCAGATATATATATAAAATCTAAATCTATATATATAGAGAGAGAGAGAATAAAATCTCTATCTATCTATCTATCTATATAGAGAGAGAAAGAGAGAAAGAGATTCTTTTTCAGCTTCTTTTCCCTTACAGGTTACTACAAAATATGGAGCATAGTTCCCTGTGCTACACAGCAGGTCCGTGTGGGTCTGACCCACATTGTCTGAAATGACTCTCACTGCCCTGTTAAAACTGTACCTCCGGGGAACAGTGCCAGCAGAGACCCCCGGCCAGGACCCACGGGCACGTGTGAGACGCGGGCAGCCTGCGCCAGGCAGCAGCAGGGCACCTGGAGAGAGGCGGTCAGACTGGGGACGGGGCCTGGATGTGCGGACCTGGGCCTGGACGGGATGTGGACTGTCGGGGACAAGAAGAGAGGAGACGACTCCTAGGTGTCTGGCCTACAGAGCTGGCACGTGTGGGTGCCACACTCTGGCCTGCAGCAGCCTGGGCGGGGCTCCACCAGCCGACCTGAAGCTCCCCGAGCCCTGCGCCGTCCTTCTGAGTCTCCAGTCCCCGCCCGGAGGCTCCTTCCCACTCGGCAGCTCCAGCCCCTCTGCCCGTGACTCCCACAGGAATCTTCACGTGCTCCCTGAGGACGTCCCCAGTGCTGCTGGGTGATGAGTCACTCCCTCCTTTTGTTATCTGGGAAAACTTGACATATGTCTCCATTTTAATGCTCACCACAACGCATTATTTAATTTTTCAGTTAAAGGTTTGCCTCCCCATTGAACTTTAAACTCGGGAGGAAGGACACTATTCTAACTCTCGCATCCTCAGGACAGTTTTACTGGATTCCAGTTTGACCGGAATAGCCACGCCCATTCGTTTATGGACTGCCTACCTGAATGATTAAGAAGTTTAATCACATGTAAATACACTTTAAGGCACAGGACTTCCATAGTAACATGTTAATGTGTGAGAGATACTGGCCTTTGACACTGGGCGATTCTCCCATTGGTTTTACTCTATCAGAAAACAATGTGGCATCAGATTCACTGATAACTCACGGGTCCCGTCCAGCCCCCAACAAGCTGTGAGCGCTCTGGGGCTGGGGGGAGGACATCTCACTCCCACTAGTGTCCCCACAGCCAGCTCAACAGAGGCACACGGCTGACACGTGGGGAGCATCTGTGTACAGACGTACAGAGTAGATGGCTTCTATAAAGGAAACCCACGAGCTGGACAACAGAATAAAGGACAGAAGTAGGAAGAAAGGGAGACTATGACTTATGTAGTGGGGAGGCCATGGAACAGGAGGAACAGCAGAGAAAGCAATTAAAAATCTCCCTGTAACGACGAACGTTCCAAATGCCAATGCGAGGGAATGCCTGCCCGTCAGCCAGTGCTTTATGATCAAGTTCAATATTATTCTATTTAGGTTATAAACAGTCGGGCTTTATAAACATGAAACTCCTTGTCTTCTAGTCTAAACACACTCTGGACTAAGATTAGGAAACAGAGCTCAAAACCCTCATTTCACAGGGGACGTAAACAATTACACAGATACAGATGACCAGAGGAAACATCAGAAAGTCCCTCTCGCTCCTGCCCTTGAATCTGTGGCCTCACCATGGTCCACTCCCTTAGACCGGGAAACCAGAACTCATCCTAGATACTTTTTCACCCTCATACATCAAACTGATCACTAAGATTTTCTCCAGTCTCTCCAATTCTAGCCATTCCCACAACCCGAATACTGCTCTAACCTGTCCCTAGCTCCAGGCTTACTATCCACAAATCTACCCTCTACACTGAGGGAAGAACAACCCAACCAAAAGGCAAATGTGATTATCTAACTCCTGCATAGAACTATCAGTTATTTCTAATTCCTCCAACAGTGAATTTAAAACTGTGTTCCTAGGGCCCAGAAATAGACCCCTAAACATATGGTCAACTGATCTCCAAATGATCAGTTTATATATCTGACTTCCTTATTAGATTACGAGTTTACTTTTTTGTAGCCCCAAAGTCTGGAAATAATGCCTCAAACTTGGCAGGTGGTTATTAAATGTGTGAGGAGTAACTAAATTAACAGAAATAAATGGGATCATTTTTGTACACTGCATATACCTCTTAGAACAAAGCAAACTGCTAAATATAAAACTAAAGCTTTCCCAATTTGTTTTTCAAAGTATGCATGCAAATCTTAACTGAATTTCCTTAATAACTCACCGTTATGAATATACCAAAATAAACAGATATGAAGTAAAGTCAACATGATAAAGTATGATCAAGGATAAATGAACACTCACTTTAAGATAAGTACACAACACCCACATGCTAAATCTTAACACACACAAGGAGGGGAAAGAACTAAAATTTATTGAATGTATTCAACTCACCAGTGCGTGTATTCAACTGTGCTAATGCTTTAAACACACGATTTCAGCAACGCTCCCATGGGATATGTATCCCCATTTCACATTTACTTTAGTGAACCTCAGAGGAGTTAAGGGATTTGCCGAAGATCAGCAAACTAGTAGACACAAGAACCAGAATTCAAACTCAAGTCTTGAAACTCAATCGCCTGCTCTTTGCTAGTTGCCTGAGCCCTTCTGCAACACCACCCGTCCCCACGCTGATCACCAAGGCGTACGGGGCGGGGGGGAGCCGGGCAGGCTCTGCCAGTCATCCTCTTCCTCCCTCCAGGGCCCGAGCGCTCCTCCTGTGCTTCCTATTCATCCAAACAGTACCACTTTCCAGGCAGAGAAGCTCAGAAGTGCTGTGGCCACTGCTGCCTCCCAACCAGAGCCCCAAGCTGTTTCCGTCACACTAAGCTGTCTCCCTGTGACAGCTAGTTCTTCTAAGGAGGAAGTGTTTTCTTCCACATTTATTGGTATTTTTCCGGTATTTCTCTCACAGAAGCATGACCATGAAAAAGTCTGAAGCAAAGGCACATGATTACCCATGATTCACAGCAAAGCAGCACTTACTGAAGGTAGGACTGCCAGTTCACTTTGTTGGCACGAACTTCTGCAGCCTTGGCAGCAATGATGTTGGTTGGAACGGCTGCATCCACGGCGCCCCGGATGTCCATCTTGGTCTAAATTTATGATCTTGAATGTTTTTCTGCGGACCTTCAATTTTGATGCAAGGGAAAACCAGAATACAAGGTGTGTTTGTTTTTTTAACAACTACTACTATGATGATTAGCAATAGCATCATTATCACCTTAATCTCTACAAGCATTCAACTCAAATACTAAATATCCTAAATATTAAATACTTATGCCATTATATCTCAAATCTTGTCCCGTTATGCACTGTTCCATAGAAGCGTTCTCTATAGGTTTTTACTTTTCCACGTAAGGTTTTCTAATTATTGGCACCAATATCGCAGTAAGATTTTTAAAGTAACCATGTAAGATATTGAATTAAGAAACCACGCTTAGAATAGGCATACAAAATAGGAAAGTATTTTAAATGTATACAGTTGAGATCAATTTTCCTCTTCTGACAGAGAAAAAATAAGAACCTGCAGAGTACAGATAGGACCAATTATTTTATTTACATTTACTAAGCCTCATTTTAAAGTGGCATATGAAAAACCTACATGTCCTTTCTAACATTATTTACTCAAATTAAAACACCCGAAGTGGGAATGCAGTATCTTAGAAAACAGAGCTTTCTTTTTTCAATCAAAATTTATAGCAGCTTCGAAGTCAATCTTGGGAGAATTTTTTGAAACAAATAAAGATTACAGTTTAGGCTCAGCCAACAATGAGAGACTGGTCTGATAATATGATCCTACAATAATGAGCTTTTAAGTAATTCTCACTCCTAAACTTAAAGATAGAAGCTTAAGCCTGATTTTATCACGATACAAAATATAAGTTCCGGTTTACAAAATATAAGCTCATAGTTATGACCACAAAGAAGCTTAAACCACACCCCAAATTCTATTCCAGGATCCCAATGACCTTAGTCAATTTGGAAGTAACCTCTACATCTGAGGGTGTGCTGCATGAACACACACGGGCACTGCGGACTGGCTGGGCCCAGGTGAAAACAGACTCCGTCCGGGCCAAGCTGGAACCTGGAATCAAGCGGGCTCAGCCCCAGCGGCCCCTCCTGCAGCGGCTGAAGGTGCCTCAGGGCGGTCACCTAGGTCCCTGAACAACTCGAACCCCCAGCCGGCCCAATCCTGGGGAAAGCACACCTTTCACCCGTCCACCCTCTCTCCCCTGCCCTTCTCTGCGGGGAAAACTCCGCAGTTTCGAAAACCCCGCTGAGGCCCGGAAGGCAAGAAATCGGGGAACCGGGGCCGGAGGAAGGCAGGCGGCGCCTGGGCGGCAGAACCCAGCGCGCTCCAGGGAAGCGGAGAAACCGCAAACTCGCCTCGCCGGGGTCGGGGTAGGAGTCGGGGACCGGGGCCGGGGCCGCTGACGGCACGACCCGAGCGCGGCCTCACCCAGCGAACCCGCGGGACCCTCCAACTCACCCCAAGGCGGCGGGAAGATGCGGCGGTCCGGAGTCGGGACCACCGCCGTGCTGGGGCGCCGAGTCGGGTCTCCTGCCGAGTCCGCAGGCCTGAGCGGCGGCGGGGACGCAACGCCAGAAAGCGAGCGCGACTCGGCACCGAGCGGACGTGAAGGGCCTCACAGGTAGGAGGAAGCCGCAGCGGCCGCAGTGGAACAACATGAGCGCAGGTCACGTGAGCCGAGGCACGTGACCGGCCGGAAGGCGGAGGCCGGGAGGGCCCAAAACAGCCAGAGGAGCGCCCTGCGCGCGAGAGGGTTTCTCTGGACGCGGGGCTGGGGGCGGGGCGGACACGCAGGGACCCCGCACCCCGAGACCCGGCGGCCCCGGGGACGGAGTCCGAGGGGGAGAGCCGGGCCGGAACTCATCTAGCTCAACCGTCATTCTGAAAAGTTTAATTTAGTGCCTTGAAATCGGTTGACTTTCACTTGGGTTTGACAAGTCAGCGGAGCAGGCGTTCTTATTCAGAGTCTCAATATGAAACTGATGCTGAGACATGGGTCACAAAAGTTATCTTGCCCTAGGGCTGCAGATTTAGCGAACAGTGGATGTTCCATGCCACAGCTGCAATTATACTAAAAAAACAAAACTATTCCTGTTTAATTAAAATTCAAATTTAATAGCACCCTGTATTTTTCTGAAAACCCCGTTTTGAGCCGAAGTTTTCCCCAGTCCAGGCCTCAGCTTCCCTCTTTGTCTTAAGACAGTAATGAGTAACGCTACACTGCAACTAGTGAGCGGGTATAATATAATAGCATATTGTTTTTGATAACTGCTGAAGGATATTTGTAGGTAGAACCAATACATTTCTCCTACAAATGTTAAATTTAGGTCAAGTTTTGAAAACAAAACTAATATTATACACTGATTACAAATAAACACCGTAGCAATAGTATATTATATTGCATTCTTTTTCTATTGCCGCTGTAACGAATTGCCACAGATTTACTGGCCTAAAGCAACACAAATGTATTATGTTACAGTTCTCCAGGGCAGAAGTCTGAGGTGGGTGTCACTGGGCTGCGGATGTCTGGCTGGGCTGAGCCCTCCACGCCGCTCCCCAGGCTCTGGAGGAGGATCCATCTCCTTGCCTTCTTCAGCTTCCTCTAGGAGTTGCATGGATTAACATCCATCAGCTTCCACGCACTCTGAGATGTTTATGCTCTTAGATGCAAGTCTCTCCATCCTGCCTGTTACACTGACCCTTTAGGAAATGTCCTTATACTTGGGAATAAAGCAAAATAAATGCACATTTGTTAATAAGTACTCACCTTCAACAAATTGTAAAATTCTTTTCTCATACAAACTCTCCTTCCTGCAATCTCCAGGACACTTGCTTTACAGAGAATTCCAGGGAATGCCAGTCAATGCTGCAGTTCCACTAGATGTGTACACACACACACACACACACACCCTCAAATATGAAAAAATGTTTACTAGGGTCTCAGAAGCACTGTGTGTGCAATGTTTTATTAGGAGACTTACTTAGATAAAAATCATTAACAAATTAAACTTAAGAAGATGAAAGAACGTTCATACAAATAATTTTTAAGTAGAAAGAAGTTTCTGAGAGGGAGAATGTTTACAAGTGTGGGGAAAGTGCTAAGAGAAATTAACAAATGTTCAAAGGAAATGTTTCCTCCAATGTTTGACACCAGAATAGAAGATGCAGAAATGAGAGTGGGGAAGTGAGGAAAAGGCTGGTGGACCCAAATGACATCCTTAAAGAGAAACGCAAACGATTTGGTTTGCAGGGTGGTGCAGAGCCATGGTTTCCGGCCCCAGGGTATGGAGATGTGGAGGCTGGTCCCAACTGTACTATCACATGCAGCCCTTGGACACATCACCTGATATCCCATGCGTGTTTCCCCATCCACAAAATGAAGAAGATGATGGGAAGGAGGACAAGACACTCTTGATGGTCCCTTCCAGCTCCGGAAATCACACAGGTCAATCTGAGTCTACTGATACCACCTATTCCACTTTCGTTCTGAGAATCGAGAGCCAAACACCAGGTCCTTAGACCCTCAGATTTTCAGTTTATTCCCAGGGTTGGGCAACCATCACTGCAATCAGTGTAATAACATTCTTCATCTCCCCTAAGAGAAACCTCTTACTCATTAGCCATCATTCTCCATCTCTCCCCAGACCCTCCTACCCTAGGCAACCACTAATGTATCAGTACGTTCTGTATCTATAGATTTGCCTGTTCTGGACATTTTCTTATACACGGAGTTATACAATATATGGTCTTTTGTGACTGGCTCTTCCCACTTAACATAATGTTCCAGGTTCATTCATGTGGCGGTACGTATCAGTGCTTCATTCCTTTTTATGACTGAATAATATTCCATTGTGTGGATATACCTCACGTTGTCTATCTGCTCACCAGTTGATGGGCATGTGGGTGGATTCCAATTACTGGACATTTGTGTGTCTTTGGTGAACATATGTTTCACTTCTCTTGGTTCATTGCATATCTACAAGGGAATTGCTGCCGCCAGACTGTTTCCCAAAGTGGCTGCGTCATTCTACACTCTCACCAGAAGCGTGTGAGAGTCCCAGTCGCTCTGCATCCTCACTATCACTTGTGATGGTCTGTCTTTTTTACTAAAGCCAACCTGTTGGGTGTGATGTGGTATCCATTAGTGATTTTGACTTGCATTTCCCCAGTGGCTAAAGATGTTGAGCATCTTTTCATATGCTTTTTGGCCATTTGCATGTCTTCTTTTGAGAAATGTCTATTTAGACAATTCACTCATTTCTAGTTTTTTTTAAGAGCTCTTTTTATATTCTGGATACAAGTCCCTTATTATGTATGATTTGCCATATTTTCCCCTATTTTGTGGGTGTCTTTTCACTTTCTTCATGATGTCCTTTGAAGAGCAAACGTTTTTTATTTTGATGAAGTCAAGTATACCTATTTTTTTCTTTTGTCACTTGCGCTTTTGGTATTGAACCTAAGAAGGCTTTGCCTAATATTTTAGGCAAGGTCACAAATATTTTCTCCTATGTTTTCGTTCAAGAGTGTTATAGTCTTAACTCTTATATTTTGGTCTATGATTCATTTTGAGTTGTTTTTTTAAAATAAATTTATTTATTTATTTTTGGCTGCATTGGGTCTTCGTTGCTGCACGCAGGTTTTCTCTAGCTGCGGCGAGCAGGGGCTACTCTTCGTTGCGGTGTGCGGGCTTCTCATTGCGGTGGCTTCTCTTGTTGCGGAGCACGGGCTCTAGGCGCACGGGCTTCAGTAATTGTGGCACACGGGCTCAGTAGTTGTGGCACACGGGCTTCAGTAGTTGTGGCTCACAGGCTCTAGAGCACAGGCTCGGTAGTCGTGGCGCACGGGCTTAGCTGCTCTGCAGCGTGTAGGATCTTCCCAGACCAGGGCTCGAACCCATGTGCCCTGCATTGGCAGGCAGATTCTTAACCACTGCGCCACCAGGGAAGTCCAAGTTCAGTTTTTAATGTGGTGTGAGGTCCAACTTAATTTTTATGCCTGAGGCCGTCCCGTTGTTCCAGCACCATTTGCAGAAAAGACAGTTCTTTCCCAATTGAATTGTCTTGGCACCTTCGTCAAAAATCAACTGACCGTAAATGTGTGGGTTCATTTCTGGACTCTCAAAACGTTGATATATGTGTCTATCCTTATGCCAGCACCCCAGTCTTAGTTACTGTAGCTTTGTAGTAATTTTTCAAATTGAGAAGTGTGAATTCTCTCTGTTCTTATTTTTTAGATTGTTTTGGATATTCTGGGTCCCTTACAATGTCATATAAACTTTAGAATCAGCTTGGTCAATTTCTGCAAAAAAGGGAGCTGGGATGTTGCTGGGGATTGTGTTAGTTTTGTATGTCAATTTTGGGGGCCTGGGATCATTTTATAAAGGAAACTTCTCCAGTTTGTAGTCCCCAGTAATACATACCTGGGATCCTTACCTCTGTGCACCCCCAGAGCCAGCAGAGGCTACTTGGGCATTAGATACCATTTGAGAAAAAGGTATTAAGGTCTATCTATTTGCACTCTGTTTAATAATCTTATATTTATAAAGCACTTTACAAATAGGAAGTATGATGTAGAAGCCAAGTTTTGGCTTAATCATTAGAGGACTAGTTACCACCTAAGAAAATCACTTCAATTAATTCTATATGACCTAAGTAAAAAGTGTAATAATCCTTGGGCTTAAGTTTGGGTATGAGTTTAGCACACATTTCCATCCACAAAGCTGACTGCTACTAAAGTGACCTTTTAAGAGACCTAGATAGACCAGGTGGCTCCTCTGCCTCTTGAGTGTATAGCCCCAAATTGTCAAGTATCACACACTACGAACACAGAACTTTGCCACGCAATCTATTTCCTTTATCATGATATACTAAGCAATATATCACTTGAATCATGTCTTTCAGTTTTGATTTAGCATTCAATTTGAATTAGGAATACGCTGCTACCTGTAGAGGGCAGTCATAACATACCTGGATGCTCATAATCAGAGGCTCATCCTGGAATAGAGCTAACGGTCTGTGGATAAACTGCTGACCCACAACACAGATAATCCTTTTGCTTCAGTTGATGTAACTTTGCAGGGAGGAGCCCAGCAGACTGAGCGACAGACCAGCACCAGCCAAAGGAAGAGAAACAGAGTGGACCCTGGACTGGTGGTGTTAAAATCAAGCTACAGGACTCATTTGGAGACTTTATTGTAAAAACATGCCTAGGCTTTCCCCAGACAACCAAGAAGAACTCCAGAAACATTTCTCCAGACCATCTATGCCGATACAATTTCTGCTCCCGCCCAGGGCTAAGGAATATAATGCGAACATTCATCAAACAGTGGAAAATGAAGGAGGCACCATAGCCAGGCACAATGTCAAGGTAAGACCGTCTCCACAGTCCGTGACCTTTCTTGACAAGGAAGGGGTTTATCCAGAAAGAATATAAAACCGCAAGCAAGCTTTAGTGCCAGTGATCACTTTATCTTATTGATGATTTATCAAAAATGCTTCCAAACCAAACCCAAGAGAGAAACTAGAACCTTGATAATAATTACCTGATCCTTCCAGTTTTCTCCAATCTAAACAACTTCCCTTTACCAAGGCAAACAATCACATTTTGTTTGTTTGTATGTTTCAGGAGGTAATGTTTTAAAAAGCAAAAAACCTAGACATA